AACAGAACAAAACCCCAGGAAAAGAACTAAGCAAAATGGAGATAAGCAACCTAACAGATGCTGAGTTCAAATCACTGCTTATAAGGATGCTCAATGAACTTAGTGAGAACCTCATTGAACTTAGCGAGAACCTCACGAGCAAAAAAAAGGACCAGTCAGAAATGAAGGAGGCAGCCCTGACCAGTTTGGCTCGGCGGTTAGAACGTCGGCCTGCGGTCCTGAGAGACCCGGGTTCGGTTCCCGCTAAGGGCGCGTACCTCGGTTGCAGTTTGCCCCTGGCCCTGGTCGGTCGTGTGGGTGGCAGCCACTCGATGTGTTCCTTTCATGTTGATGTTTCTCTCTCTCTCTCTCTCCCTCCCCCTCTATCTGAACAAAAAATGGAAAAATGTCCTCGAGTGAGATTAAAAAAATAAAATAAAATAAAAAAGAAATGAAGGAGGCACTAACTGAAATAAAGAATAATTTACACAGATTCGATCGTAGAGTAGGTAAAGCCAAGAAGCAAACTATTAATTTGGAATATAAGGAAGCAAAAAACACCCAATCAGAACAGCAAAAAGAAAAAAGAATCCAACAAAATGAGGATAGTGTAAGGCACCTCTGGGACCACTTCAAGCGTGCCAACATTTGCATCCTGGGGGTGCCAGAAGGAGAAGAGAGAGAACAAGAAATCGGTTCAGTTCCCGCTAAGGGCGCATACCTTGGTTGCAGTTTGTCCCCGGTCCTGGTTGGGTTGTGCGGGTGGCAGCCACTTGATGTGTCCCTTTCACGTTGATGTTTCTCCCTCCCTCTCTCTTTCTCTCTCTCCCTCCCACTCTATCTGAACAAAAAAATGGAAAAATTTCCTCGGGTGAGGATTAAAAAAAGAAGTACAAACTGGGTGTTAGATTGACAAACCTCAAATGGAAGTGGGAGGGTGGGAAGAGATAAACCAAAGAACTTATATGTATATATGCATAACCAATGGACACAGACAACAGTGTGGGGAAAGGCAGGAGGGTGGTGGGATTGGAGAGGAGGAGGTCAATAGGGGAAAAATGAGGAAATTCTGTAATACGTTCAACAATAAAGATAAATTTTTTAAAAATAAAGAAAATAATGTACAAACAAAATAAGAATATTAATAAAGACACAGAACTTATAAAAATGAACCAAAAAGCCCTGGCTGGTTTGGCTCAGCAGTTAGAGCATTGGCCTGCAGACTAGAGAGTCCTGGGTTCAGTTCCTGCTTGGGGCACGTACCTTGGTTGAGGTTTGTTCCCTGCCCGGTTGGCATCGTTTGGGTGGCAGCCAGTCGATGTGTCTCTCTCACATTGATGTTTCTCTCTCTCTCTCTTCCTCCCTCTCTCCTTCGCACTCTATCTGAAGGTGAATGCAAAAAATGTCCTTGAGTGAGCATAAAAAAATAAAAAATGAACCAGAAAAATTCTGGAGCTGAAAAGTACAATATCTAAAATGAAAAGCTCACTAAAGTGCTTTCACATCAGATTTGAACAGGCAGAAGAAAGGATCAATGGACCTGAAGATAAGAATAAAGAAAAAGGTACAGCCCTGGCCAGTTTGGCTCAGCGGTTAGAGCGTCGGCCTGCGGTCCGGAGAGACCCGGGTTCGGTTCCCGCTAAGGGCGCGTACTTCGGTTGCAGTTTGTCCCCAGCCCTGGTTGGTCATGCGGGTGGCAGCCATTCGATGTGTCCCTTCACGTCGATGTTTCTCTCTCTCTCTCTCTCCCTCCCACTCTATCTGTACAAAAAATGGAAAAATATCCTCGGGTGAGGATAACAAAGAAAAAAAAAGAAAAAGGTACATATCCACATAAAATAATGAAGTTAGGCTCTTAACTTACGCATATACAAAAATTAACAATTTTGGGTGGTGGGCACAGTGACAGATTTTGTATCATAGAAGTGTACATTTTAAACTTCTATGATACTATTAACTAATGTCATCCCAATGAATTTAATTTAAAAAATAAATAAATGAAAAAAAAAGATTGACAATACTAAAAAATAATAAATTAGCTCAAAGTGGATCAAGGACCTAAACTAAGACCTAAAAATATAAAACTCTTATAAGAAAACATAGAGTAAGCTTCAGAACCTTGGCTTTAGCAATGATTTCTTCGGTATCATGCCCAAAGCACAGGCAACAAAAGAAAAAATAAATAAATTCAATTTCGTAACATTAAAAACTTTTGTGTTTCGAAGGACATTATCAACAGAGTAGACAGTAGACAGACAACTCACAGAATGAGAAAAAATATTTGCAAATCATATAAGGACTTACTATGAAAATATATAAAGAACTACACAACAACAATAAACAAAATAACCCAATTCAAAAATGGGCAAAGGAGCCCTAGTTGGTGTGGCTCCATGGGTTGGAGCACTGCACCAAAATGTAGCAGGTTCGATTCCTGTTCAGGGCACATACCAGGTTGCAGGTTCGATCCCCAGTCGGGACATGTACTGGGTGATCAATATTTCTCTCCTGCCTTCCTCTCTCTCTAAAATCAATAAAATCATATCCTTGGGTGAGGATTTAAAACAAAAAAGGCCCTGGCCGGTTTGGCTTAGCGGTTAGAGCGTCAACCTGTGGTCCAGAGAGCCCGGGTTCAATTCCCGCTAAGGGCACGTACCTCGGTTGCAATTTGGCCCCGGCCCTGGTTGGGTCATGCGGGAGGCAGCCACTTGATGTGTCCCTTTTTTTTTTTGGTATGTGCCCCTAGCGGGAACCAAACCTGGGACTCTCTGGTCTGCAGGCCAATGCTCCAACCGCTGAGCCAAATTGGCCAGGGCTAATGTGTCCCTTTCATGTCGATGTTTCTCTCTCTCTCTCTCTCTCTTCCTCTCTCTCCCTCCCACTCTATCTGAAAAATAGAAAAATGTCCTTGGGTAAGGATTAAAAAAAAAAAAAAAAATAGGCAAAGGAATTGAATAGACATAAGAATGGCCAGTAAGCACCTGAAAGGATGATCATTATTAGTCATTAGAAAAATGCAAACCAGTCTTGCACCAAGAGGTCACCAGTTCGATTCCTAGTCAGGGCACATGCCCAGGTTGTGGGCCCAATCCCCAGTGGGGGACATGAAGGAGGCGGCCAATTGATGTTCTCTCTCATCAATGTTTCTCTCTTTCTCTCCCTTCCTCTCTCCCTCCCGCTCTATCTAAAGATAAATGCAGCCCTGGCTGGTTTGGCTCAGCGGTTAGACCCGGGTTCGGTTCCCACTAAGGGCATGTACCTCGGTTGCAGTTTGTCCCCGGCCCTGGTTGGTCGTGCGGGTGGCAGCCACTCGATGTGTCCCTTTCACATCGATGTTTCTCTCTCTCTCCCTCTCCCACTCTACCTGAACAAAAAATAGAAAAATGTCCTCAGGTGAGGATTAAAATAAATAAATAAATAAAGATAAATGCAAAAAATAAATAAAATACTAAAAGAAAGAAAAATACAAAACAAAACCACAGTGAGATGCCAGTTCAAACCCATCAGGAAAGCTACTACAAAAAATAATAACAACACCCTGGCCAGTTTGGCTCAGCGGTTAGAGTGTTGGCCTGTGGACCAGAGAGTCCTGGGTTCGGTTCCCGCGAGGGGCACGTACCAACAAAGAAAAAAATAACAACAACAAGTGTTGGCAAGGATGTAGAGAAATTAGAGCCTTCATGCATTGCTAGTAGAGATGTAAAAATGGTACAGCCACTGTGAAAAACCATTTGGTTGTTCCTCAAAGTTAAACGCAGAATTACCATATAATCCATCAACTTCACTCCTAGGATTACACCCAAAATATTTGCAAGCAGGGATTCAAACAAATACTTGGACACCAATGTTCACAGCATTATGCACACTACTGAAAAGGTAGACACACCCAGGTGTCTATCAATATAAATGATAAACAAAATGTGGTGTCTACAAATGATGGCATATTATTCAGCCATAAATAAGAATAACTTTCGGATACAGGATACAACATGGATGAACCTTGAGAACATTAATTATGCTAAGTGAAATAAGCCAGGTATAAAGGGCAAAAATTGTAAGATTCCACTTATATGGGTACCTAGAATAGGTAAATTCATAGAGACAGAAAATATAATAGAGGTTGCCAGTGGCATGGACAACGGAAGGATGAAGAGTTATTATTTAATGTGTACAGAGTTTCTGTTTTGGGTAATAAAACAGTTCTGGAGACAGGTGTGATGGTTATACAACACTGTGAATGTATTTAATACCACTTAACTGTACACCTTAAATGGTTAAAATGGTAAATTTTGTTATATTTTAGCACAATAAAAAAGCAATTATCCACTCTATTAGGTATACAGAAAATTATGAATGTTAATTTTTAAAAACTTACAACATGTAAATATGTGGAATTCTTTCCAGGGTGAAGTTTCTGGTATTGAGGAAATAGCAAATGTAACGGTCTGGGTGCTACAATGACAAGCACAACAGTGTTTTTTCTTTCTTTTTTTTTTTATAATTTGTTTTCTTTATTGATTATTTAGAGACAGAGGAAGAGAGAGGGAGGGAAAGATAGAAACATCAATGAGAGAGAACATCAACTGGTCGCGTCCTGCATGCCCCCCATTGGGAATTGGACCTACAACCCAACCCGGGCATGTGCCCTGACCAGGAATCAAACTGGTGACCTCTTGGTGCAGGGTCAAAGCTCAGCCACTGAGCCACACCAGCCGGGCACAACAGTGTTTTTTTAAAAAAAACTTAGACACCTCCCCTGGCCAGTTTGGCTCAGTGGTTAGAGAATTGGCCTATGGATCAACGGGTCTCGGGTTTGATTTCAAGTCATGGGCATGTACCTAGGTTGCAGGTTTGATCCCTGGCACCAGTCAGGGTCGTGAGGGAGTCAACCAGTTGATGTGTCTCTCTTACATTGATGTTTCTCTCTCTCCCTCCCTCCCTTCCATTCTATCTGAAAATCAATGGAAAAATATCCTCAGGTGAGGATAAACAACAACAAAAAATAGTTAGACACCCAAAAAAATTTTTTTTACACCTCTCAAAGTGATCTTCAGTGTGTCTGAGAAGAAACACACTAAATCAGTTCTTTTTCTAAGAAGGAGAGATTACAGAAACCTCTCCCCCTTTGCTTGCCTTTCTCAGTTTCTCCAAAATAAGTGTGCACTGCTTTTGGTTTAAGAGTTGTTTTTTTTTAATTAGACAGAAATATCTTTCACCTGTGACAACACTGTGTGGCCAATAAATAACGGGGTGGGTAGGTTGTGGGAAGTGCATGGTAGAACTCATAGGCCTCCAGCATCATGTGGAGAAGTCTTCCCGGAGGTGGATCCTCTGATGCTGGAACACGTTGGAGCTGTGCCGGAATGCCTTCCCACACTCGCTGCACTTGTAGGGCTTCTCCCCAGTGTGAATCCGCTGGTGCTGGGTGAGGTAAGTGCCCTGGCTGAAGGCCTTCTTGCAATCGCTGCACTGGTACGGCTTCTCTCCGTGGTGCGACCTCTGGTGATGGATGAGTCTGGAGCTGTTGTGGAAGGCCTTCCTGCACTCGCTGCACTGGTAGGGCTTCTCCCCCGTGTGGATCCTCTGGTGCTGGATGAGGTGTGTACTCTGGCTGAACACTTTGCCACAGTCATTGCATTCATAGGGCTTCTCTCCCGTGTGGCTTCTCTGATGTTCAACAAGTTTGGTTTTTTGGATGAAGGCTTTCTCACATTCATTACATTTATAGGGTTTCTCTCCAGTGTGAATTCTCTGGTGTTGGATAAGGTTAGAACTTTGGGTAAAGCCTTTGCCACATTCCTTACACTCAAATGGCTTCTCTCCAGTGTGGGTCCGACGATGGCGGATAAGGATTGAGCTGTCACTGAAGGCTTTCCCACAGTCACTGCACTTGTAGGGTTTCTCTCCAGTGTGGATTCGCTGGTGATAAATAAGGGAAGAGTAGGCACTGAAGTGCTTCCCACACTCAGTGCACTTGTAGGGCTTCTCCCCAGTGTGAATTCTCTGATGTTTCATGAGGTTGGGTCTCCGGTTGAACGTCTTTCCGCACTCGTCACACCGGTAGGGGATCTCCCCTGAGTGCATCCTTTGGTGATTGATGAACTCACAGCTCTGACTGAAGGATTTCTCACACTCGTCACACTTGTAGGGCTTCTCTTCACTGTGAAGCCGCTGGTGCTTGATAAGGTTAGCACTGTACCTGAAGGCTTTCCTACAGTAACCACAATAATGCAGTTTTTTCCCAATAGGAATTTTCTGATCTTCTTTAGCTACTAAATGTGCACTGAAGATTTTCCCAGAATCATGAACTATATTTGTTTTTTCTGACCTGTGTACACGCTTATGGTTATTGAGATATGATCTCTGTTCAAAACTTTGTTCACATATATCGCATTTGTGAGGTCTGTGATCAGGGACAGGACTTAATCCCAAGCTGATTCTTCCACCATACTCCTGGCTGCTCTTCCTGTTGGTCATTGTGACTGGCCTGGGAACTCTCTTGTCCTGGATCTCCTCTGGCTCCTCAACATGGGTACAGGCTTGTATTGGCTCAGGTCCCTGGGCAACAGCTCCCCTGAGTTGGTCCAGTTCTGCCCCATCAAGCATCTCCCCTGAGGTCAACTCCTTATACTCAGTCCTGGTCCCATAAACTGAAACGACAAACAGAACGTCTCAGAGTCACCTGTTCTCAATCTGGAAGGAAGGTACAAAGATACTGCTGACCACCTGTGCAGTACCAACTCCATCATCTCCAAAGTCACAATACCTTCCAGAGATAAAAACCTGGAGCTCAGAGGCTTAAAAATCTCTCCCAGGGCCACAGTCACATGGCAGTGCAAACATTTCACTCAGTTCTGATCAGCACCCATGCCCTTCCTCCCTGCCTTCTGCCTCCAAAATCTGCCAGAGTGAGATAGTATGATGCTTGTCCTCATTACAAAGAGAAAGGAGATGGAGGTTTCATAGTACCATGGAAACCAGAGAAGGGAGGGGCCCAAAAGTCATGGAGAACATCTGAAAAACAAACAAATGAATGCCAAGCAAGTCCAAGGCCACCTAAAAATACCCCAAATCCATGCTAAGAAAACCAGTTGCCTCCCCAGGAGAGCAGAGGGCCAAGCCCATGCCAGCCATAGAGGAAGGCAGAGCTCACAGAGGCCAGAGTTCCTGGTTCTCCCTAGCAGGCCACTCCCATTCTCAGGGCTCTTTCAAGGGGCATAAGAGGCCACAGGTGAGCCACTAGCACCTTAAACTCAAGATGCCACACAAAATGTTTCCTGAGCCCTCAGGCCTCCCCTCTTTCCTCCTTGACTAGACAGTCATTCACTGACTCTATGGGCAGGAACACACGCACCAAAAATTTTTTCTCCGTGAGACAAGAGAGATAAAACGACCCCAAAACGGGGACAACTGCATGTCCTCCACAATAGAATGGAAAAGTGTATGTTCACGACAGAACACGGTACAGCAGAACAGACTCAATGTAACACAGCAACCCTCCCAATGCTCAGATGCCCACATGTGTCCAGCAGAAAGAGCCCAGGTCTCAGAGGAAAAGGCCCTTGGGGTGCAGCAGGAAATTAGGGAGGAGGCACCATGGGCTCCTGGGGAACCAGAAATGTTCTATATGTTGATCTGCAGTACTTTTTTTTTTTAAGTTTGCATTTATTATTTATTTATTTATTTATTTATTTATTTATTTATATCCTCACCTGAGAGAGTGGGAGAGAGAGAGAGAGAGAAACATCGACGTGAAAGGGACACATCGAGTGGCTGCCTCCCGCATGACTGAATCAGGGCCGGGGACAAACTGCGACCGAGGTACATGCCCTTAGCGGGAACCGAACTCGGGTCTCTCTGGACCGCAGGCCGACGCTCTAACTGCTGAGCAAACCGGCCAGGGCTGCAGTACATTTTTAAAAACTTAATAAGCTGTATAAATTCAGGGTTGTCCCATTTCTATAAGTATTTATATTCAAATATACAAATTTATAAAAGAGAAACTCAAGTCCTTTGAGTCAGGAGTTCCTTCCTAGGACATGAAGATGGGCAGCACTGTCCATGGCAGTGGAACTAGATAACACCTTCCCTGCTGGCACTTCCAGTGACAGCAGCAACTGACAGTCCTGTGCACAGAAATGGACATGCTGAGTGAAGAGCAAGGGATCACCAAGTCCAGGTGTGGACCAGACAGGGCTAGAATGGGGACAGCAGGTGCAGACTAGAGCACATGTGTGTTTGGTTGCTAACACAAGTGATGTGTCTTCCCTCACTTCCCTGTAATGGTCTGGGATTGTCGGGGGTGGGGGTGGGGGTGGCAGGGTGAGGGGGATGATACAACTAGCCTTATCTGACCCTGCTGGCTCCTAGTGCTAAGCTCTCAGGGGCAGGGCTCCCTGGGGTGCCACAGCCGCAGCCCTCCATCACAGTTCACCCAAACGCCCTTCTCTCTTCACCTCTACCAACACTGCCCCTCTCACCACCTAGAATATTCAGCTCAAGAATCATCCCACTGAGGCATTCAGACTGCTGGGGGTGACCTGGGTTTCAATAGAGGCCACCCCCAGGGCTGCCATGCTGGCCCAGATACATCTCCCCCCCGACTCCTCAGTAATTAGCTACATACCCTGGACTCCACAAATACTTGTTCAGTGACTAATAAGGGAATGAGCCTCTCGCGCACCTGAGCCATCGACTCCCAGCTGCTCTGTCCCCTTGGCACCCTGCGTGTTCAGGACCCATGGCTCATCCCCTTGCTCCAACTGTGTGATCACCCCAGGCTTGGGACCTGCAGGTCCAGCTCCTGGAAAGGAGACAGGGCCTGGGGTTGGTGCCAAGGACACAGGGATGGGGCACTGCAGGGGGAGGGGAAGCACAGATACGGGGGTGATGGGAAATGGGGACACTCTGGGGGCCTGGGACTGGGTGATGGGATCAGAGAACAGGGAACAACAGCACAGGGCCTTCTCCCCACAATACTATGCAGCCTCCCCTGGGAAGCAGTCTGCCTTGGGCCTGGGGCAGAGAGAGTCTATCCAGGAGCTCAGAAGAGGGAGAGGGAGACCCAGCCCCACTGGGCCCCTCCTCTCCACAGACCTGTTTCTGGGCCCATGGGTGAGGCCCTCAGCCCAGGCCCTGCTGAGCCCTCAGTGCCCAGGGCTGTTTCCTGAGCTGCGTCCTGGCAAGGGGCCTTACCCAGGGAGACCAGGTTCCTGTAGGTTTCCAGCATCACATCCCTGTAGAGGCCCCTCTGAGCAGGGCCCAGACATCCCCACTCCTCCTGGGAGAGAAGTACAGCCACATCCTCGAAGGTCACCTGGGCCTGGAATGACAAGGGCTGCTGCAGGACCAGGTGAGGCTAAGACTGGTCCCTGGGGGCAGGGGCAGCAGAGGCACTCTTGGCAGACAGCAGAGGGTGACTGTAGGCCTAATCCCTCGGCATGGCCTAGGTGGGTGCTCTGACCATTTGGATACTGAGGCAGCTAACTTGGGTAGGCTGGGGGAATCCCAAGGTCACCCCTCCTATGCTCAGCACCCAGACCAGAAATGTCTAACAGTGTTTGCTGAGGCAGAACAGGAGGGGAAGCCCTGGGTGGAAACCGCATACCTTCCAAGAATGGATGGTCACGTGGGGTGCGGTGGACAGATGCAAAGCCATCATTACGTGGTTCCCTGGACCTCCCAGGGGTGGTAGGCAGAAGTCAGTCACTCAGGTGCTGAGGGAAGAGAGCGGAACACATGGAGGCCCAGCCTGGTCCCTCCTGTGGGTGGCTTCAGAGCCCGGTTCATCCCCCTGGGGCAAAGCTGATCTCCCAGCAAACTTCCTGTCCCCAATACATGAACACGTGCTGGACTTCCCAGGTCACCTGCCCCTCCTCCTCCATGGCATGCTAAGTTGTCTCATTCAGGAGGACAGAGATATTCTTTCACCGAAAGGGAATGACTAAAGACAACATGTTATGGGGTGAGGAAAAGGAAGTAAAAAAAAAAAAACAATAGAAGGCACAGAGCGCCCTGGCCGGTTTGGCTCAGCGGTTAGAGCGTCGGCCTGTGGTACAGAGAGACCCGGGTTCGGTTCCCGCTAAGGGCATGTACCTCGGTTGCAGTTTGTCCCCGGCCCTGGTTGGTCGTGCGGGTGGCAGCCACTCGATGTGTCCCTTCACATCGATGTTTCTCTCTCTCTCTCTTCCTCTCTCTCCCTCCTGCTCTATCTGAACAAAAAATGGAAAAATGTCCTCAGGTGAGGATAAAAAACAACAACAACAACAACAACAAAAAACAACAAAAAAAAAGAAGGCACAGAGCGAAAATATAAAACTAGTAGAAACAAGTCCCATGGATTAGTGATGGTGAGAAATAAAAGGATTCAACTCACCTACAAGAAGCACAAGACCCTTAAACTAAATACATGAAATGTATCTACATAACCTAAAATGAAACAGTACAGAAGGATGAATACAAAACACACCAAACACGAATTAAGCCCTGGCAGTTGTGGTTCAGTTAGTTAAGCATTGTCCTATGCACCAAAAAGTTGCTGGTTTGATATCAAGTCAGAGCACACGCATTGACTGCTGTGGGCTCTATCCCCTAGCTGGGGGCTTGCAGGAAGCAGCTGATCAATGTTCTGCTCTCACATTGATGTTTCTCTCTCTCCCTCTCCCTTTCTCAGTCTTTAAAAAATAAATTAAAATATTAAAGAAAAACACTAATGGCCCCACCAGTGTGGCTCTGTGGACTGAGGTTGGCCCATGGACTGGGAGGTCCCAGTTGGATTCTCTGTCAGGGTACATGCCCAGGTTTCAGGCTCAATCCCCAGTAGGGGCCATGCAGGAGGCAGACAATTGATGTATCTCTCTCGCCTTGATGTTTCTATTTCTCCTTCCCTTCCTCTCTCTCTAAAACACAAACACACACACACACCCCTAATTAATTTTTTTAAAAAAAGGAAAACACTAATGAAAACAAAGCAGCTTTTTTCTTTTTTAATCCTCACCCGAGGACATGCTTTTTATTGACTTTTTTTTGTTTATCCTCACCCGAGGACATTTTTCCATTTTTTGTCCAGATAGAGTGGGAGGGAGAAAGAGAGACACATCGATGTGAAAGGGACACACTGAGTGGCTGCCACCAGCACAACCCAACCAGGGCTGGGAACAAACTGCAACCAAGGTACATGCCCTTAGTGGGAACTGAGCCCAGGTCTCTCTGGACCGCAGGCCAACGCTCTAACTGCTGAGCAAAACCAGCCAGGGCCTTTTTATTGACTTTAACGAGAGAGAAAGGGAGATGGAGATTGAGGGGGAGAAAGAGAGAAAAGAGAGAGAAACATCAATCAGTTTTCTCCCACATGCATCTCGACTGGAGATTGAACCCGAAACCTGGGTAATGTGCCCTGATTAGGAATCGAACCCGTGACCTTTCAGTGTACAAGATGATGCTCCAACCAACTTAGCCACACCAGCCAGGGCAAAAGTAGCTCTTTACTGGAGTGGCACACAGAACCCGGCCAACATGGGGTACTGCCCTGACTTCCAGCTTGAATCAGCTGTGCCTCTGCTGAGCTTGCCCGCAGTAGCTGTGGCTCTGCACTCCTCTAAGCTGGCTTCGCCCCTTCAGTGTGGTGTTGCTGAGCTTAACATGCATTGCTCTATGTGGTTTAGGGTTATTTACATCAATCAAAACAGAACTGAAAGCAAAGACTTCCGTGCCGCCCTCACACTGGTGGGGAGAGATTCCTCAGGTGTGGTTTCAAGCACTGACCCTGTCCTGGCATGTCCCAGCAGGACCTTTCACACGGAAGCATGCCCTAAGTTTCAGTCCCCAGCCGGACGGTGCGAGCCCCTGGTGGGGCGACTGGGTGCTAGGCTCGGCCTGCCGGTGCATGCAGGTGCGCCAGCCATGGCCTGTGTGCGTATGCAGCACCACGCATGCGGGGCCGAGGAGCACAGAACCTTCAGGACTGGAAGCCCACCTGCAGGTGACCTGCCTGGGTGCCCTTGCCCGTGTGCCCCAGTGCACAAAGGCCGGCTGACTGGAAACAGCTCCCAGTGACCGCCTCCGGAAGCTGTTGCAGCCACATGCTGAGTGCACTTAAGCCCTTAAACCTAAGGCGAGAGCAGCCTCCTTCACTGTGGACCTGGGATTAAAACAACCCCTGTGGGGCCGGGGAGGAGGACCCCCACACTGTGGTGGCCAGCACCTGGGAGGTCTTGGGGTGGTAGGTGTGGCTTCTGAGCAGTCCCTGGGTGGAGAGGCCCAGTGGCAGGAGGTGCTGACCCTAGGAACTCAAACCCCCTTTCAGTTTATGTAAGAACTCTGGATGTGCTGGGCTGGTATGGCTCAGGGGCTGAGCTTCCAGCCATGCCCAAGTGGTCACTGGTTCGATTCCAGTCAGGGCACATGCCCAGGTTGTGGGCCAAATCCCCAGTCTGGGGCATACAGGAGGCAGCCAATCATGTTCTCTCTCATTGATGTTTCTCTCTCTCCCTTCCTCTCTCTCTAAAATCAATAAAGAAAAAAGAAATTTTTAATGATCATTTAAAAAATAAATAAAAGTACCCCTCTCCAAGAAAACCATAAAGAACAGAAAATAGGGTAGAAATGTCAACAAAGGCTCCTTAAGGAAAAATGTGCATCCTTAACACACTAATTTGAACACAAGAAATACTCAAATAAATGATCTAAACGTTCAACAAGAAATCAGACACAGAATAAAAAAAGTAATTCAAGAAAAGATGATGGTGCCCTGGCTGATTTGGCTCAGTGGTTAGAACACTGGCTCTCAGACCAAAGAGCCCCGGGTTCAATTCCGACCAAGGGCATGTACCTCGGTTAAAGTTTGTCCCCGGCCCCAGTTGGGGTCCTGCAGAAGGCAACCTATCAATGTGACTCTCTCACATTGATGTTTTTCTCTTTCTTCCTCCCTACTGCTCCATCTGAAGATAAATAGAAAAATATCCTCAAGGATTAAAAAAAAAAAAGAAAAGATGGTGGAGCCTAAAATAGCCTAGAAGCAGAGGGAATAGTGGTTGTCAGGGTTTTGGGGTTGAGAGAAAATGGGAAGATGTTGGTCAGAGTACAAACTTCCACTTGTGTGAGATGAGTAAGTTGTGGACACCTAATTACAGCGTGGCAACAAGTCAACAGCAGTGCACGTGTAACATGAAATTTGTGAACTGCCTCTTGCACACACCCAACTGGGAATTTGGCCCACAACCTGGGCATGTGCCCTGACCAGGAATCAAACCAGCGACCTCTTGGTGCATGGGTACACGCTCAACCACTGAGCCACACCGGCTGGGCTGTGAAGAGGTGGACCTTAAGTGTCCTCACCACAAAGAGAAAGAAAATGGTACCATGTGCTGGACGTGGTTATTTCACAGAGTACACATACATTAGAACATGAAGTTGGGCACCTTCAATATGGACAATTCCTATTTGTCAATCACACCTCAAAATAGGGGCTGCTTAAGGGAGCCAATGCCCTGGGACCCTGGGTCTCTGTGTAATTTCACTGCAAGAGTTCTCCTAAGCCCTGGCCTGTGTGCCTCAGTTGGCTGAACGTCCTCCCACCTACCAAGAGGTCACCATTTCCATTTCGGGTCAGGGCACATGCCCAAGTTGCGGGCTTGTTTCTCTCTCTCTCTCTCTCTCTCTCTCTCAATGTCCCTTCCTATCTCTCTAAAATCAATAAAGACATTAAAAAATTAAAATAGTATTAAAAAATTTTTAAGTTCTCTTTAAAAAGTGGAGACTGGGCTTGAACAAACGTGTTAAAAAGAAAACTGGCAACCCCAGTCGCAGGTGTTTGCCAATCCATTCGTATTTTCTTTTAAAGTTTTATCAAAAGAGATTTATATGTATATATATAAAACAATGAAGCAAACGAAAGGAGAGAAACAGGGACGTGGCTGCCAGAGACGGCCTGGGAGCGCCCGAGGCCGGCGGGGGAGGAGGAGGCACAGGCACCCGGGAGCAGTCGGAGTGGGGGCGCACGGGACCGTGGCAGTGGACGGGAAGCCTGTCGGCACTAAGTTCCGGAGCTGCACGCATAGTGAAGAAGGAAATGCGGAGACCCGGAACCTGACGGACCCGGCGGGGAATCCGGGCCTCGGAGGCAGCTTCGCGAGAAAAAGGCCGGCTACGCTGGGGGCGGGTTACCGTCGTCCGGGACGGCGCGGGCCCAGGATGCAGAAGCAGCCCCGTGGGGCAACCTGGGGAGTCAGGTCCGGGGACGCCGAGCCAGGGGAGGAGGCCTATCGGGGGCCCAGGCGGGAGGTGTGGCCGACTGCGGAGAGAAGTTCGCGCCAGGGAGGTCGGCCCCAACGCCCCGCCCGGCCCACACTCACCTGAGCGCTGCCGAGCGGCGGCCGACCACACACCGCCCTCCCTGCCCGCCCTGCCAATCGAAACCCGCCGGAAGTGACGCAGCCCCGCCCCGTCGCGTCCTGGCCGCTCTGGGAAATGGCTTTCGTGTCTCGGTGGCTAGACTACTCCAAGAACGATAAACGCAGGGCAACAAATCCGGAACGCTGCCAGGATGTGGCAGTGGGGGAACAGGATTCAGAACGGAGGCAAGAGTGGGGCTTTGTTGACCAACTTCGAAGACTAAAAGATTATAGTAATTCTTTTTCAGTGAAAACTCTCTAGTGAGCTGCTAAAGGCACTACAACCAAGACCTGACCACAACGTTCACCAGAGCCATGTGATCACCAAGTTAAGATGCTTACTGGTCGCCGTGGCTGATGTGGTTCAGCGGTTAGAACGTTGGCCCGCAGACCAGAATCCCGGGTTCGGTTCCCTCAGGTCACGTACCTCAGTTGAGATTCGTCCCTGGCCCCTGCTGGGGTCATGCGGGAGGCAATCAGTCCATGTGTCTCTCTCACATCGATGTCTCTCCCCCCTCACTCTATCTGAAGACAAATGCAAAAAAATGACTTTGGGTGAGGATTAAAAAAAAAAGATGCTTACTGGTCAAAGCCATTTTCTTTTTTTTTTCAATCTTCACCCAAGGGTATTTTTCCATTTATCTTCAGGATAACCAGGACCAGGGCCGAACCACAACCTTAGTATGTGCCCTTGGCTGGAATCGAAACCGAGACTTACCTGTCCGCAGCTGATGCTCTACCGCTGAGCCAAACCAGCCAGGGCTCAAAGCCATTTTAGTTCAATCCACTTCCCCTACCCCCAACCCCTAGTGGGCCCAGTGTCCACTCTAACTGGACTAAGGGCCTCTTCAGTCACTCAACTGCTTCTGCAGCAAATCCTCCCTGATGGCCAGTCTCTTGGCCAAGACACCAGGCCACCTTATAAGAAGGGAGTGCCTCCCATCTTCTCTGCTCATGATTGAGATGCTAGCCCTGCTGGGATGACTTCTCAGGTGTGGTGGTGGCCCAGGGAAGGAAAGACATCCAGGAGGGTCCCTGCAGCTCAACTCAACAGTTCTGAGCTGACCAGTTCCCATGCAGTAATCAGGTAGGAGACTGCCAGCCAGTGCCTTCCACCAGTGGTCTGTAGGGCACCCACCTCAGCCTGCACAGCGAGTGCCCTGCAGTAACTTTCACACTGGCTCACAAGGAAAACACTGTGGGGAAGGGGTTCTTAGAATCGAGTATCCTGAACCTAATTAACTGATGGGCCTCCACTCACATCAGTGCCTGCTCATCAGCATCTGTCCTCGTTCTGTCATCTCTGACAGAACTGTCACAAAATTTGAGAAGAGGTTATCATTAGTTGTAGCCAAACAGGAAGTCCAGTTGTTACGATAAACTCCCCATCCTCTCATCCAGTTCCCCTGCTGTCCAACCTGTGGCTTCAGAACAGCACCCACCCAGCCCTGGCCGGTTTTGCTCAGCGGTTAGAGCGTCCGCCTGCGGTCCAGAGAACAGCACCCACCTAAGAGCATCCACACTTTCACCTAAATTCTCCCACTGCTCGGAACAAATTAACACACACAGGCGTGGGCTTCTCTGTTCCATGTGCTGGTGGGGTTCCAGGAAACAAGGTGTGATGGGACCAAGCACCCCCACCTCCTCTCCAGAGGTCCTCCCAGCAGGACCCTTCCCTCTGAAACCACAGGCAGTAACATCTTAGTGGCAGGAGAACAAACTTTATTGAACCCCCAGCTAGTTCTCTTTCTCCTGCACAGTCTTGGTTCCCCGTAGACGTCCAGTCCTGCGAGCAGCAATGAGACCCACTTTGCGGCCAGCAGGGGCATCTCTGCGGATGGTGGAGGGTTTGCCAATGTGTTGGTGGTTGCCACCTCCAAATGGATGCTCCACAGGCTGCAGGCAAAAGGAAGTGGTGTTAATGTGGGGGTGGCCCCAACCTATTTCAGGAGGGCTTGAGAAAGGGCAGGATCAACAGGCCTGTGCCCATGAACCATCACCCAGATGCTCATATCAAACCCCCTACCAGAAAGGAGAGGATATTCTAGGAAGGGATATGCCCAGCCAACTTCACAACCCCTGTATCCGGAGTACCCGTCACCGCCCATTTCTGGGCCACTTACGTTCATGGCCACACCCCGCACTCGTGGCCAGCAATTCCTCTTTGCTTTATACTTGTGGTAGGCACGGCCTGCCTTCAGGATAGGCTTGTCAATACGGCCACCTCCGGCCACCACACCTGTTGAGGATTATCAGGCACTTCAGGAAGGTGCATCACACCGTCCCACCAGACAGAGTATCCCTTGCCAGCACCCCACCCCTGCACTAATCATGTTCTCTGTACTGTCATATAACATCACAAAGTTCACAGAAGCCACAAAAATACTTTGCAACTACAGCCCTGCACACTGTCAGTTGATAGCAAGTTCCTTCAGGCTCCATAGGGTGCCAAGCCAGACATTTACTCACATCATCGGGAATGCCTATCTCAATCCAAGGCTCTCCAGCAAAGTCCCCACCCCTATGTCTGACACTAGGCAAATCAATCTCCGAATCCCAACCCCAACTTAACAGCTGACCCAGCCTGTCACATCTCAGCCAATGTTGCTCATTCTTTGAACACACCCCTATAGAGCCTCCCCCATGCAGGACTGAGTTTGCCACAGGACTTGAAAGTGTTGCCAATCAGAAGCGAACAAACCTGGATGCAAATCCTTTTCAATGCACTTACTGGGTGATTTTAAGAAAACCACACAAATCCAAATTATGGGAGAATGCATACAGGTTCCACTAGGTTAAGCCCTGTTTCCTTCAACTCCCAACCAGCAGTGAAATTGGTACCACTATGCCCACTTTTCCAACGTTATGGACTTAGAGGCTATGTATGTGCTCAAGCTTTACAGAGCCTACACTTTAGTGGAGTAAAGTTAGGTTCCAGGGCCCAGGTCTACCTGCTGGCTGTTTACAAGCTACCCACAGCATTCAACTGCTGCCTGCCACTTACCGACCACAGCTCTGTTGGCAGAGGAAATGACCTTCTTGGAGCCTGAGGGCAGCTTCACTCGGGTCTTTTTGGTCTCGGGGTTGTGGGAGATGACAGTGGCATAGTTTCCCGAGGCTCGAGCCAGCTTGCCCCGGTCACCAGGCTTCTCCTCCAGACAACACACGATGGTGCCCTCAGGCATGGTGCCCACTGGGAGCACATTGCCAATGTTCAGCTGAGCTGCAAGGAAGAGCAACACAGTGAAATGACTGATGTCTTAACTACTGCTAACCAGAGGCATGTACATCCACTCCCTCCACACAGCACCCCAAAATGGCCAACACAGCACTCCTCCATTCCGAGCACCCCACTGGCTACTTTTGGCCCAACAGGGCTCCCCAAGTGAAGCTTCCTCCTGGATGCTTGCCCTGCTTGACTTAGGATATGCACCTCCTCATGCAACCCCATCCTCCCATCGCAGGCCCGATGCTTACCCTTCTTGCCGCAGTACACGAATTGGCCAGTGTGGATGCCTTCGGCGGCTATGAACAACTCCGTCCGCTTCTTAAACCGGTATGGATCCCGGAAGACCACCTTGGCCAGGGGCGCGCCGCGGCCGGGGTCATGGATGATGTCCTGCGGGGCGAAGAGACGTGAGCGTAGGGTCCCTGTTCGGCGCCCCCTGCCCCCACCGCCCCGGCCGGCGCTCCGCACCTTCACGATGCCCTTAATGTAGCCGTGCCTCTCCGCGAAGTCCACGGCGCGCAGACGCGCGGCGCCCTTGCGGTGTTTCACGTGCGCACGGAACACGGAGCCAGCACCCTTCCTCTGCCCACGAATCACGCGGCCCATGGCGGCACTCTGCGGGAAGCTCACGGTCAGCGCCTGGGGTGCCCTAGGCACTCTCACCACCCGCCTTCATGGTCCCCTTTCCTCCGGCTCCTCCCTCCAGCCCCTGGGCCCGTCCGCGCTCCAATCCCCGTCTGCAGACTCCGGTATCATCTCAGGAGCCAGCCTGGGTCCTTCGCGGGACCCAGGGCGGCGGATGGCGGCGGATGGCAGCGGATGACATCCGGGCCGCAGCGCCGCAAATACAACTTACCTGCTATTCAGCCTGGCCGAAAGAGGAGACGCGGCGCCCGCGAGCCGCCTTATCTTCCGGGGCCGGGCCGAAAGCCACTACAACTTCCGTGCAGACGCTGCGGCTGCGAGCAACGTGCACGACGGGACATGAAGTCCTACCCGGACGCCGGGACATCTGCGCAGGCGTACTAGGGGGGTTGGCACTCGGTGCCCAGAAGATCGAGAGGAGGGTAGAGGGTCGCCCCACCCTCAGGGAGACCTCCGGGAGGGAGGGCATCGCCTACTGAGTGGCCGAGGAGGCCCAGAGGGGTTGAGTGGTTTAATTAGGGTCATGCTGCCCCCCACAGAGTGACTCACTCTGGGCGCGTGGTCGGGGGTGGGGGGGCGGAGCTCCCACTGTCTTGGCCTGGTGAGGTCCCCTTTAAGGAAACGGGTAGAATCCGGCAACATGGTTTACAGTGACAAGAGTGGGGTGTGGACGACAGAGGGCAAATGTCCGACTTCTGCGGAGGAAGAGGGGCAGCCAATCAGGAAATGGGAAGAGCAGAGCTGGGGGTTACATGGCTAGGAAGGAAGGAGGGCGTGGGCAGGACACGCGCTGCTAATAGGAGGGACTGGGTGAGGGAACACGGCGACCCTGCCCAGATCCTGTGGGGAGAGGTGGGTGAGATTTGGAACGGGGAAAAGGAGCATCTGGCGGTAGGTTGGGGCACTTAGCTGTGGAGAGGGCTCTTCACGGAATCATGGCCCTGCGGAGTGAGAGTGGACCCTGGAGTTATGAGAAAAGTAGGTGGGACCCCAGTCTGAGTTACCTGGGCTGTGGGTGTGCAGACGGGGTTGTGGAGGGATCGCCAGCAAGGTAGGGAGATAGTGAGGGCAGGGTCAGTTTTTTTTTGTTTGTTTTTTTAAATTTAAATGAGAGCCCTGCCGGTTTAGGCTCAGCGGTTGGAGCGTTGGCCTGCGGTCCGGAGAGGCCTGGTTTTGGTTCCCGCTGAGAGCATGTACCTCTGTTACAGTTTGTCCCCAGCCCTGGTTGGGTTGTGCGGGTGGCAGCCACTCGATGTGTCCCTTTCACGTCGATGTTTCTCTCTCTCTCCCTCCCTCCCACTCCATCTGAACAACAACAAAATATTAAATGAGAGTCAGCCCGTGGCTGGTTTGGCTCAGCAATTAGAGCATTGGCCTGCAGACCTGGTGGAAGGTCCAGGACACCTATCTGGCTTGCAGGTTCAATCCTCCGCCCTAGTCGGAGTCATGAGGGAGGCAACCAACTGATGTGTCTCTCTGTCTCCCTCTCTTACACTCTAAAAAAAAAAAAAAAAAAAATCAATGGAAAAATATCCTTGAGTGAGGATTACCAAAAAATAAATTAAACACTCATTTTTTTTTTTTCTGGCTGGGTAGCCAAGTTGATAAGAGCATCATCCCCATACGCCAATCAGTGTACATGTAAGATTCAACCAATGAATGCATAAATAAGTGGAACAACAAATCAATTTCTCTCTCCCCATTTCTCTCTATCAAATCAATAAAGAAAAAAAATTGGAAATAGTCAATTTTATTCTCCTTAAACCACAAAATAGTGAGTCTTTGAAAGAGAATTTCTTTTTTTAAGTGTCTTGTGTTTTATTTATTATCCTCACCCAAGGACTTTTGTGTGTGTGTGTATTTATCTTCAGATAGAGCAGGGGGAAGAGAGGAGAGAGCGCGAAACATCGGTGTGAAAGGGATACATCTACTGATTGCCTCCCGCAGGACCCCAACTGGGGCCAGGAACGAATGGCAACCGAGGTACGTGCCCTTAGCAAATCGAACTGGGGACACTCTGGTCCCCGAGCGGACGCTCTAACCGTTGAGCCAAAATGTCCAGGGCTGAAAGAATTTCTAGCCCCGCCTCCCCGGCTCTGGCCCCGCCTCTCGCTGGATTCCGCCCTCCCCAAGCTCGGCCTGGTCCTCTCCTTGGGCCCTGACCCCGCCCTCCAACGACTCCCGCCCTGCCTCTAGGATTGACTCCCGCCCCTATCAACTCAGGCCCCGCCCCTTCTCCGGGCTTAGCCCTCCCCAGACTGTGGCCCCGCCCTATCCCAAACTCCTCCTCCGCCCTTCCAGGGCTTTGTCCTTTCCCTTAGCTCTGGTCCCTCCCCTTCTCCGGCACCCGGGCTGCGGAGCTGGGAACCACTGAGACGGCCAAGCCTCCAAGCCGCCCAGAAGGCCCGGAAGTCTGTGGGACGGAGCGGGCGCTGGCGTCGAGGCCCGTTTCCGACGTCTTAGCGAGTTTCGAGCCTCCGGCGGTCCTCGGGGAGGGTGAGTCGAGGCGGCGACCGCGCCCGCAGGCGGAGTGCTCGTGGCGGACCCCAGCGTGCGTCCGCCTGCAGCACTGCGGGCCCCGCGTTGCCCCGGCCTGTAGGCCAGGGAGAGCGTGTGGCGCGGGCGGCTTGGAGAGGCCGTGAGCGCCTGCGAAGAAGGTGGTGGAGCCGCGGCAGCCCTGCCCGCGGAGGCGGGAGGCGTTTGGCCGAATCCTGCAGGTTCCAGCGCGTCCTTCCCGCCAGCCTGCTCCAGAGGGATCCTTGGTTCTCCTTCCTGCATAACCATCCCTTTCAAGGGCCCTCTTTTCCCCTCACGTACGGCTCCTGGGAGACCTAACTTAGTCACTGTCCTAAAGGGCTGTGCCTTGCGTGGGTAGGAAGTTTGCCTTCTCTGAATGATGATTGCCTCTCAGGGCTGCCCTTCTCTACTGGGGACCAGGATCCGGCGCTGCCCAACGGTGGTCACTTCTGCCCGGACAGCCTCGCTGTGCACACGGCCAGGGGCGTCCACACACAAGACACTTTCTGACCCACTAGGAAACCCACTCCTCATTCTGACCTACCAGGGGGACCCATGGGGAGAGGACCAAGTTTACATAGGGGCATTCTTGTATCCCTTTCTCTTTTCCCAACGATTCATTATCAGGCTCCTGGCTCCTCCGACCTCCCTTCACATCATGCTTCGCTGCCTGTGATCCACCCTACTGGCTCGTTCAGCCTATTTCGTCTTGCCTCAGCCCCTTTGCACTTGCTGTGCCTGATGCCTGGAGTGCCTTCCCCTCCTGCACCTCCTTGGCCTTCTTAGCTCCTCTGGGAAGTGACCCATCAGACTAAGCCAGGGTTTCCTAGTGTAAATGCTTTCAGAGTTCCTTGTACTTTGGTGCCATCACGGTCGTCATTTTGCATTTATTTGTGTGGTAACTTAACTGTTTCCTCCACTAGACTGTGCTTTGTGAAGGCAGAGACCTTGTGCATTGTCTACTGCTGCATCCCATTGCTTGGTTGAGCACCTGGTGCACATGGCAACCACCCCTCAAGTGTTCATGGAGTTATTCACAACCACCACATGCTCTGAAAGATGAACGAAGCCTCAGGGGGCAGATGTTCAAGTGCTGTGGCTGCTTTGGTTTCATCCTGTGTCCCTGCCAGAGAATATCTGGGGGTGGAGGTAAAGGATCAAAGAATACAGTGCCCCCTGGATTAGTTTGGAAGTCAGGGTGGCCTCCAGCATCCTGACCTCTGACTTTTTCATAACTGTCAACAGGTCTCTCAGCCAAGACACATGGATGCTCACCCACCAAGCCTCATGGTAGGAGTCTAACTGCCTCCATTTCCTCATTTGTCCTGTGAGGGTTCTGCTGCCTCCTCTGGGTACCCACCCTGCCCACTGTGCCTGAGCCTAGACCCTGCCTTGTTCCCTTGCTGTGGCCCTTGCCAGACCCTGGCATGCCCATCCCCAAGGTAGTGAGCAAACCCCTGTCCGTACTCGGGCCCACCTGAGGCTCTCCGGGGAAGGGTTGTAGGTCCCTGGTCTGGGTTCGTCCCCTCCTCCATGCTGCCCCTCCCCTTGATTTTAGAGCCAAAGGGGCCTGTTGACTGTCTTGCCCCAGCCCTGTGTTGCATGTACCTGAGGTACATCCTTAGGTGGCCCCAGAATGGGGCTGGCACCCAGGGGTCCCTGGGGTGCTGGTGTGTGTCCTTTCAGGAGGCAGTGACATTTGGTGATGTGGCTGTGCACTTCTCGCGGGAGGAGTGGCAGTGTTTGGACCCTGGCCAGAGGGCCCTCTACAAGGAGGTGATGCTGGAGAACCACAGCAGTGTTGCCGGACTAGGTGAGGCTATACCTTGGGACCCCTCCCCTTGTGTTATAGATCAGCACCCACCTATTCAGGCCTCTGTCAGAGCTGGGTATGTGGAGGCTGTGTGGTAAGGTCCTGACCCCCAGATGGATCATGGTGAGCCAGTTAGGCTCCTAGCTTTGTTCATATCACATGATTTAATTCTCCCAGGGTAAGTGGACTTCTGGGAGGTAACAAAGCTTCCTTTTTGTCTGGGCTAAAGATTAACTTGTAAGAAATAGAATCTAAACTAGAAACAGCTTTTTCTGGCTTTTTTTTAACTTTTGGAGGAACTCATATAGATGGAATTAATTGAACCTTTCAAGGTTTCGGTATAATTTCCTGTAAAACCACCTGGGCTCTGGGGGAAGCCCTTCCTTTTCTTTCATGATCCATGGTCTGACAAGCTTATGAATTTCTCCTTGTGCCACTTTTGTATTTTCTAGTTTTTCTACAAGTTTATCTATTCATTTGGGTTTTCAGGTTTTCTTTCTTTTTCGTTTTATGTTTTCTTTATTGATTTGAGAGAGAGAGATAGAAACATTAATGAGAGAGAATATCAATTGGCCACCTCCTGCATGCCCCGCACTGGGGATTTGGCCCACAACCTGAGTATGTGCCCTGACCGGGAATCAAATTGGCGACCTCTTGGTGCCTGTGTCGAAGCTCAACCACTGAGCACACCAGCCAGGCGGGTTTTCAGTTTGTATGTATTTGTTCATAATACTCTTTGTGTTTATTTGTAATCTCCGTTGTGTCTGCAGCTGTTCCCTTTTGTAAGTTTTTGGCAGTATGTTGATTGGTTTTGCCCCAGGACTTTTTATTCGTCTTTTCAAAGAGCCAGCTTTTGCTCAACTTTTGGGGAGTGGTGTGGGGGGGTCCTTGTTCTCTGTTTCACTGAATCCTGCCCTGCCTTTATTTTTTCCTTTCTTTGTGTTTGTGTTTGCTGTGTTGTTTCTAATTTCTTGAACTTAATGTTTACCTCATTTGTGTTTTATTATTCTTATTTCTAGTAAATGTATTTAAAAACTTAAACTTCTGTCTTTAAGTACTGTTTCAGCTGCATCCTATAAACTTTCACTAAGTAAATATAGTTGCCAGTCAGTAATTTGTTACTGAATCTCCAAGTGGCTAATAGTTTTGAGCTGCCTGTTGTGGTTACTTTCATGCCCCCTTGTATTTCGGTATTTCAGTATTCTGGGGTTCTGTGGACTGCACCACGAGCCCTTCAAGGCTGGCACAAGGATTGTTTCTCTGATTTTTCCATGTGTGTTTGGAGAGAATATGTGTTTCCTGTTCAGTGTGGGGTCCTACCTGCACTTGAAGCTTTCAACCTGGGATCTCTCTGCCTGCCCTTCTCCAGCCCCACACCAAGAATCCTGAGGGAAGCTCCAACCACAGGGCCCTTATATGGGCTGGGATCTCACCACACTGCCGCCCAACAGCATAAAGCTGGTGGAATGAGGGTGCGAAATGGGCACCCACAGGTCTCCACCACTCCCCAGGCTGCCTATGCCCTCTTGCTTTGTTTATTTGTTTGTTTTGGTACGCACCCCTAGTGGGAACCAAACCCAGGACTCCCTGGTCCGCAGGCCGACGCTCCAACCACTGAGCCAAACCAGACAGGGCTGCCCTCTTGCTTTGTGCAAGACTGGGGGCAACCAGGTGAGGATTGGACCTCATTGCCTTCTGACTAAAAATCTGTTTTATGCCCTGGCCGGTTTGGTTCAGCAGTTAGAGCGTCGGCCTGCGGTCCAAAGAGACCCAGGTTTGGTTTCCGCTAAGGGGTACCTCGGTTGCAGTTTGTTCCCAGCCCTGGTTGGTCGTGTGGGTGGCAGCCACTCGATGTGTCCCTTTCACGTCGATTTTTCTCTCTCTCTCTTCCTCTTTCTCTCCCACACTCTGTCTGAACAAAAAATGGAAAAATGTCCTCGGGTGAGGATTAAAAAGAAAAAATCTGTTTTATTTGTTGTTCTTTTTTTTTTAATCCTCACCTGAGGATATTTTTCTATTGATTTTCAGGTAGAGTGGGAAGGAGACAGAGAGAGAGAAACATCGATGTGAGAGAGATACATTGATTGGTTGCCTCCTACACGATCCCAACTGGGGCTAGGGATTGAACCACAACCGAGATACGTGCCCTTGACTAAATCGAACCCAAGACTCTGGTCTGTGGGCTGACGCTCTCACCGCTGAGCCGAACCGACCAGGGCTGTTCTTTTTATTTTATTTATTTTTTATTATTATTATTTTCCCCTTTATTCCCACACGACCCAACCAGGGCCGGGGACAAACTGTTGTGTGCCCTTAGCGGGAACCGAACCTGGGTCTCTCCAGACCGCAGGCCAATGCTCTAACCACTGAGCCAAACTGGCCAGGGCTGTTCTTTTTATTTTATTTTTAAATTTTTATTTATTGATTTTTAGAGAGAGGAACACTGATTTGTTGTTTCACATATTTACACATTCATTGGTTGATTCTTTAAGTATGCTGACCAGGGATTAAACCTGCAACCTTGGCATATCAGGACGATGCTCTAACCAACTGAACTACCCACCCAGGGCGGTTTTTTCTTTTTTTGTTAATTTTCACCCAAGGATATTTTTCCATTGCTTTTTAGATAGAGTGGAAGGGAGAGAAGGAGAGAGGGGGAGAGAGAGAGAGAGAGAGAGAGAAAGAAACATCAGTGTGAGAGAGACACATGGACTGGTTGCCTCCTGCATGACACTGACCAGGGAGAGAGAGAGAAAGAAAGAAACATCAGTGTAAGAGAGATACATCGCCTGGTTGCCTCCTGCATGACACTTACTAGGGTGGGGGACCACACCAGCAACCCAGGTATGTGCCTTTGATCAGGAATCGAACCCACTGCCCTTTGGTCTAAGGGCCAACATTGTAACCACTGAGCCAGGCCTGCCAGGGTTTTTGTGTTTTTTTTGTTATTAATCTTCATTTTTCCATCTATTATTTTAGAGAGAATGGAAGGGAGTGAGAGCAACATCAATGTGAGAGAGACACACCGATTGGTTGCCTCACACATGACCCTTACTGGGGCCAAGGATCGAACCCTCAACCCAGGTACACACCCTTGACTGGGAATTGAACCCAAGACCCTTTGGTCTGCAACTGATGCTCCAACTGCTGAGCCAAACTGACCAGGGCTTCTTTTCTTTCTTTTTAAAAAAATAATAGTTTATTTGCGCCAAACTGGTGGCTTATGATGAAAAATAAGGTCTTAAATGCTCCTATCTTGTTCTTTAATCACCTCTACCTCTTGGAGGTTTATACCTTCTGAACTGAAGGGCAGTGCCTGGCTTTTCTCTTCTTGGGGCAGAGTGGCCTCTTCTTGGCAAATTCTTGGTTGACAGGGTCCCCTGGTGGTCTTTGCCTTGAAGCAGACGAGGATGGGCTGTGAGTCCAGGCATCCCTCGCTGTCTAGCTTCAGGAGCTGGACTGAACCAGACAGAGAGAGTCCCTGTGCCCAGATTCTTATCCTATGATGCTCCTTTTAGAGACTCTGCCTGCACCCCAGCAGCCTCCCAGCCCTTTACTCCTGGAAACCAGGGAACATTGAGCCCTGGGCTGCATTCCCAGCAATGCCAATGTGGTTTCCTTTATTACCTTGACAGCAGGATTTCTGCTCTTCAAGCCAGAGCTGATCTCCCGGCTGGAGCAGGGGCAGGAGCCGTGGGTCCTCGACCTGCAGGGAACAGAAGGGCGAGAGGCACCAAGGACTCCCCAGACAGGTGAGGCTTGGTCCTGTGGCAGAGAATCTGTGCCTGGGGAGGCGGACCCCAGGGATTACCAAGGGAGTTTGTTTTTAAACCACGTTTTATTTAGTTTCTAATCTTACCGATATTCTTATTAAGCAAAAATACACATGTGGATGCAAGAAGCAGTAAACTTGGTTCTGAGCAGCCTCTCAGGTGAACATCACATCATTGGAACCGATGCGATCCCTGCACAGCTTCTTAGGATCCTGGGTGACCCAGCTTGTCAGTTCAGGCTCTGGGTCTGCCATAACAAAGCACCATAGACTGGAGGCTTGAATCAACAAAGATTAATGTCTCATAGTCCTGGGGCCAGAGGTCCAAAATCAAGGTATTGGCAGGGTTGTGACCTCTCTGAAACCTGTAGGGGAGGATCCTTCCTGCCTCTTCCAGCTTCTGGTGTGCCCGGGCATTCCTCTGCTTGTGGATGCATCACCCCAGTCCTCCATGTTAGCACATTCTGCCTGTGTTTCTGTCTTTCCAGGGACACCAGTCAGACTAGGGCCCTCCATACCTCAGTGTGACCTCATCTGATCTAACTCCATCTCCACAGTCTTGTTTATAAATAAGTTCGTATTCTGAGATCCGGGGCTGGAGCTTCAACACACCTTTTTGGGGGCACAGTGAGCTCATAATAGGGACCTTCCTATTCAAGCCCCTTTCTGACCCTTCTTAGGAAGGACTAAAGGGATAAACCGGCCTGGTTGAAACCCAACCCCCATGGAACATTTCCAAGGGGCAGGGAGATTTCAAAGAGGACACCGTGGCAGGAGAGCCAGCTGGAGTTGGCAGAACTCCTCAGTTAGTCGTTCACATGCAGCTGGTGGTCTTCCTAGTGGTTAGGTGACAAGAAAACATCCATGCGATGAGACCTAGAGCTGCTCGCAGACCTGAGCTCTCAGGCAGAGGACAGACTCATGGATGAAAATTTGTGGAACATGTTAGAAAACGTAAATGCCCAAGGTGTGATTTTGTCTATTGGTGCAGCGGATATCCCAGGATCCAGGGCCTACAGCTGCCTCCATCACTGCCTGGACTCAAGGCCCCCTGGGGGCTCCATGGACAGTTTCAGGACAGAATTTAGTCCAAGTGACCAACTGCAGTAGGTCAGAGTTCATGAAGAGCTAACTCAGCTTCCACTTGCTTGGAGGTGAAGGAGCAGCCAGGGGGCATGATGGAACATAGAAGGGGAAGGGTGGGTCCATGTGACACCACCTGGGCTTGCTGACGGGCCCTGCCCTTGGGCTTTGGCTGGAACAAGCATTCATGAATTTTCTCAGGTGGGTGCTTTAAGGGGGTTGGAATCATTCTTGGGATGCGGCCTTGAACTATTAGAAGCCACGCTAGTGTTTTGTCTTTATACACCAAAGGGGAGGCCTGGTTGAACAAGGCTCAGAGGAGCCTAGCTGGGCTGGTCGGGAAAGGGTCTTTGTCAGAGGAGCCGTCACTGGTAAGTGGGAACAGGAAGAGACGGGCTGTGCAGTGTGCAGGTGTCGTGTGGGCCTGAAGGGAGGGGTGTGTGCATGCAGAGCCAGACAGGAGGCTACTGGCTGTGGAACACTGTTGGGGACCTGTCACATAGGGAGGCAAGGCCTTTGTAATGTAATCACTGCTTAGAGACTTGGCTACCTGAGAGAGGGAGGGGACTCCAGGGCAGCCAGGTGGGTTTGCAGTGTCCTTGTCTGGCAGCAGTGCTATGGCCGCTTAACCACAGCAGGAGGCCTAGGGCTCATGGCTGGCCTGGCAGTGCAGGCGTCCTCGACTACCTTTCTGTGGCTGTTCACAGGGCTCTGCATTACAGCAACAGGTAGAGGAGAGCAGTACTTGCCCGTTTTCTCATCTACGTGGCTGCTTCTGGCCCCATTGAAGGAGCAGGTTTGCCAAGGTCGTTTGTGCAGAGAAAGAGAAATAGTGAGGACCAGGCAGGAGATATCCCATGTCTTAAGGGCAGAGGTTTGAAAGGGTGTGTGTTTTGGGGGAACAGACCTGGGCTCATTCCAGAGTCTCATTAGCTGTGTGACCATGTGTGAGTTACTTAACCTCTCTGAACCACAAGCCCCTTATCCACTACTGACCTCACTGGGGTGTCATGAAGGAGGGAGCAGGAACTGTCATTGTGCACAGATGCTCAGTGCACGCAGCCCCTTTCAAACACCAGGACTGACAGAGAGATGGGTCACCATAGCTAGAGACAGCACTGATGTGAGCAGCCAGCGGAGCCCTGTCACTGGGCCCTGGGTTTCGTTGGACAGCACTGGGCTGGTCATGGTCCTGGATGTGATTAGGGATGATGGGGTCTGACTTCAGCAAAGGCATTTCCTGTGATTACAGAGTAGGAAGGAGGCTGACACTTATGTGGAGAGTCCAGAGGGAAAGTAGATGTCAGGAAGGCCTTGTGGGAGCAGGTGGGGTAGGCAGACCCTCCTCAGAAACCCACAGGAAGGAGAAGTCCATATGGAGAAGGTGAGGGGCAGACTGGCAAGGGACACGGTCAGGTGTGAGTTGGAGGGAGTTGCCTGCTGTCTGCTGGGGCAAGCAGAGTTCTGGCCCTGGGTCCCACTCAGGAGCCCAACCAGGGCACAGACCAGTGCCCAGCCCTTTGGCCTCATCGTTGTATGCCTTTCCGTAGCTCTCCTGCCTCATCTTGCTCAGCAGCTGCCCATCCATCTGTCTATAGTTTAAAATTCCTCTTTCCTCCTTCACTCTCCACTTCATCAGCCTAATACCGCCTCTCGCTAAACCCCCACCCTCTCAGGCTCACTTTCTTCTTCTCTTAATCTTCAACCAAGGATATTGTTCCATTGATTTTATTTTTTTATTTTTATTTTAGATAGAGTGGGAGGGCCCTGGCCAGTTGGGCTCAGTGGTAGAGCATCGGCCCACAGAGCAATGAGTTGTGGGTTTGATTCTGGCCAAGGGCACATACCTCAGTTGCGGTTCATCCCCAGCCCTGGTCAGGGTCATGTGAGAGGCAACCAGTTGATGTGTTCCTCTCATGTCGATGTTTCTCTCCCTCCCACTCCATCTGAAGATAAATAGAAAAATATCCTAGAGTAAGGATAAAAAAAAAAAAAGTGGGAGGAAAGAAGGGAGAAAGAGAGAAACATTGATGTGAGAGAGAGACATCGATTGGTTGCCTCCTGCATGACCCTGACTGGACTGGCGATCGAACCCATGACTCTTTGGTCTATAGTTCAATGCTCCAGCTGCTGAGCCAAACCAGCCAGGGCTCACTTTCTTGGTAGACTTTTCCTCACACCGTTTTGCTACAGGATGGACGTCTGCTGACGTAGCCCCCTTGTAGGAGGGTAGCTGTTAGCACTCAGTCATGTACACTGTGGTTGAATGAATGTGTAAAGCAAAAATTGTGAATGAAACCAAACTTTGCTAACTGTCAAAGTTGTCAATTTTTCAGTGTCTTTGCATGTGGGGTGTCCTGGAAAGGAGCTCAGTTCCTAGGGATGATCCCCACCCTAGCCTCTGTCCTTCTCTGAGCTCAGGAGAAGGAGCTTTGTCCTGCCTGTGTATTTCAGATTCTACAATAAGCATTGATGGTGAGCAGGCCGGTGAAGATGTGCACATGCTGAAATCAGAATCCCTGTCAGCATTGGTCAAAACCCCCCTTCAGGATTCTCCTCAGAGCCCTGGCTTCAGAAACACCCGTGATTCTGAGGTCTGGCCAGAGAACAAGCTCAGCTCTCTTTTCCAGAAACACCACTTACACATGGTGAGTCCCAGGAAGACCTCTGCCATGGAGGATGTGCAGGGACATGGTGACTTGGGTTGTCAGCCTGGGAGAAGTCAGGGGGTTCCTGCAGATGGGTTATCCCAAAGGTGCGATGTGTGTGGCAGGAGTTTCAGATTCACGGCTCTGCCTCAGGAAGTCGGTGTACAGAAGAAAACTAACAAATGTCAGGAGTGCCAGAAAAAGTTATCTGATTGCTTACAGGGGAAATATCAAAGTAGCTGCCACAGGGAGAAGCCATATGAGTGTGAGGAATGTGGGAAAGTCTTCAGGTTGTGTTCACAGCTTAATCAGCATCAGAGAATCCACACTGGAGAGAAACCATTCAAATGTATTGAGTGTGGAAAAGCCTTTCGCCTGAGCTCAAAACTTATTCAGCATCAAAGAATTCATACTGGAGAGAAACCCTACAGGTGTGAGGAGTGTGGGAAAGCCTTTGGTCAGAGCTCCAGCCTTATCCACCATCAGAGGGTGCACACAGGAGAGAGACCCTATGGCTGTTGTGAGTGTGGGAAGGCCTTCAGCCAGCAGTCTCAGTTGGTCAGACACCAGAGGACTCACACTGGAGAGAGGCCCTACTTGTGCCAGGAGTGTGGGAAAGCCTTCAGCCAGAGCTCAACCCTGGCTCAGCACCAGCGGATGCATGCTGGGGAAAAGCCTCCAGTTTCAAGAACCCTGGATGGTGCCAGCCTTGTTGCCCATCAGAGAATCCACACTGCAGAGAAACCGTTTAAGTGTGATGAGTGTGGGAAGGCTTTCAGGTGGGTCTCTCGCCTTAGTCAGCATCAGCTGACTCATACTGGAGAGAAACCATATAAATGCAACAAGTGTGTGAAAGCCTTTGGTTGTAGCTCACGGCTTATTCGCCACCAAAGAACTCACACTGGAGAAAAACCATTCAAATGTGATGAGTGTGGGAAGGGCTTTGTCCAGGGCTCACATCTAATTCAGCATCAGAGAATTCACACTGGAGAGAAACCCTATGAGTGTAGTGACTGTGGAAAAGCCTTCAGCCAGAGCTCAAGCCTCATTTACCATCAGAGGATCCACAAGGGAGAGAAGCCCTATGAGTGCCTGGAATGCGGAAAAGCCTTCAGTATGAGCACACAGCTCACAATCCATCAGAGGGTTCACACCGGGGAGAGGCCCTATAAATGTGGTGAGTGCGGGAAAGCCTTCAGTCAGAACTCAACCCTTTTCCAACACCAGATCATTCATGCTGGAGTGAAGCCCTATGGATGCAGTGAGTGTGGGAAAGCCTTCAGTAGGAGTTCGTACCTTATTGAGCACCAGAGGATTCACACACGAGCCCAGTGGTACCATGAATATGGGGGCACCCTGGAGGGTTCTACCCATGTGAGCCGTAAAAAAGTTAGCACTGTAAAGAAACTACACAAATGTAATGAATGTGAGAAAATATTCAGATGGCGCTCGCATCTAATTATACATCAGAGGATTCATACTGGAGAGAAACCTTATAAATGTAATGAATGTGGCAAAGCCTTTAATCGGAGCTCAAGGCTCACTCAGCATCAAAAGATTCATATGGGATAGACCATTCACCTCTGTAAATGTGTGTAAATGGAAATAAACCCACAGCCTTAACCTACTTATTTTATATGGAGGATTGTTGATATTGACAAGTTAGAATGTTGGTAAAGATTCAGAATTGCTTTCTTAAGAATATCCAAGTTCAAAGTGTGTTTATTTGCCGGAATTTTGACATCCCATTTGGTAAAGCCTGTGTCTCTTGCATCAGGGTGCCCATGTGTAGAGTACTTAGTGCAAAGAGGGAAGACCCCAGGTCCTGCATCTGAGACCTGAGAAGTCCTTGAGCTATGCCAGACGAGATACTCAGTGTCTTCAGCACCAGTTACTCAGACTGGCTTCAGCAAGGATGTGTGAGCTTGTGTGCACATAAGTCCAGAAGAGAAGTGTCTGAAATTCCTTTCTGCCTTCACTTGACTCCTTTTCTTTAAACCTCTTCCCCCATCAGCAGCCCAGGCATGCAGTCACCCAGGGTCAACTTGAGTTTCCATATGGGTCAGCCACTCTGGTTAATCTGACCTATAATCTGGGACCATGTACTTTGTCTCACAGAGCATCTAATTAAGGCCTGGAGGCCACTGGATGAGGTGGACCTGCAGCATTGACCCTAGCCCTGCCCAGGGTCCTGGACTCACCAGCCATGTGTGAGTCTAGGGGCCAGGAGTCCTGCTTGGACAGGCTGCTGCCCAGGGCCACCCACTCAAGACCTGCTGACATTTGGTGCCATTGCCATAATCACAGGGGCAATATGAGACCCTACCCCCATCCCAGTGGAGGGGCCCATTTCTTCCCCCTGTGGACAGGTAGCCCAGAGGGACACAGGTCACTTCAGGATCTGTGGTGACACTTGATTTGGGTCACTATCACACTAGTTGAGTCAAGCCCAAGATCTTGCTGCTTCCATCACTGTGCGTAGCGTAGCCTGTAGCAGGCTATGGATTTGTGTCAGGTGAAGGAAGTGCTTTCTTGTCCCTGTGTTTGTACCAGGAGGTTCCCAAGCTTTCTGCTAGTGTTGGGAGCAGTGGAGTTTGAGATGGTCGAGTTTATGTGAGTTTGTTTTTACAGCATGTAGGTGGGGGTCTCAACCTGCAGCTGGTCAGCTTGATCGCCCGCTGCTGCTGCTGCTTACCCAGTGCAGTGTGTGACATGTCCCCCACCTGGTGCCAGGACATCATGAAATTGGTGTGCCCTCTTCTCCAGTCATCCCTGCTCCACCCAGAACTTATGTCTGGAAGGGTATGTGCCAGAGGACCAGGGACTTCTGTACATTGTGCAGAAGTTATGCTCATTGTGTCCCTGCTTTGGCTGCTGTGCTCAACCAGGTGGCAACTGCCAGCACATCTGGACAGGTGAGCTCAATCTGAAAGGGCCACAAATGTTTAGGCTCTCACCCAACAGTGCTTTGTGAGCCATGGTACTGAGTGGACAGGGCACACTTATGCCCTCTATTGGCACTTGGTACTGTCATGCACTGGAGGGCCTCTCCATTGGACCCCACCTCCCTTGCCTCCTAGGTAATGAGGGACAAAGGGATGGATAGAGGGTTATATGGACTCTTCCCTATCCATCCTGGGCATGATACTTTCCCCTAACAGTGACTGCAGACCAGGCAAGAAGTCCAGAGGCTTTCACCTTAAATCCACTTCAGCACCTGAATCTCTGGACAGCTGTGGTCCTGGATCAGGGACTAGTGAACTATGGCCTGTGGGCCAAACCCAGTCCACAGCCTGCTTTTGTGTTAACCGAACACCGAGGCCATTAGATTGGGTGGCTCGAATGCCTCTGTACCTACCCAGCTGACAAAAGCTAAGCCAGTCAATTCCTCTAAATGCATCTGTCACAGCCAACCAGGCTTCCCAATAAGGCAACTGCTAAGCTATAGCCAATCAGATTTCCATGCTTTGTTTCTGCATCTTCTCTATAAAAACCTCTCCAGTTCTCTGCAGACCACTGGGTTTGGCGTTGCCTGGTTCCAATCCATGTTTGCTCAAGTAAACTTCAAAATTTTAATGTACCTCATTTACCTTTTAGCAGAGCTAAGAATGGTTTTTACATTTTTAAATGGTTGATGGGGGAAACAGACTATTTTGTGACATTGGAAAATTATACTGAAGTCAAATTTTAGTGTGACCAAATAAAGTTTACTGTAACAAGCCGGCTCGCTTGTTTGCATGTAGCCTCTGACTGCTTTTTCATTATAAGAGTCAATCAAGTTCATCACATAGCCTGTGTTCCTTCATTAACTTGATTAACACCCGAAAGCCCTCCATAAGTTTTCTTCTCAGCAGTTAGTGTGGTTTGTTCACTAAAATGTCCCAATAACTTCAGTAGCAATAATCCTAAGTCCTACACTCCAGTCAAGAACACCAGCTGCACCTGCATCCCTCTAAGGAGTCCTGTGGTGATGATTCAGCCAGAGTGTTAACTCCAGACAAATACTCAAAGGTATTAAGACAAAGGCCATTGAGTGGCTATTCTCTGCCTGGGAACAAATAGGAATCTAAAGGCTTATTGCTCCAAAGAATTGTCAAAGACACTGCATTTCATTAGATGGGAAACCTGGTGCTATTTGCTACATTTAGATAAATATGAATATGAGTCATCTATCTACAATTTCATGTGTTATTGCTAATTTATCAAGGCATTGGGTCAGGTGGGAAATGGTAAAATGATATCAAAGTGCTCCAAGTATCAGTCTAATAGAGAATGTAATATTAACACCTTTTACAAAGAATGCTTTCTAAAGCCTTTGAAACCGAATTCCTGGAGCTGCTCAGGTTTCTAGAGTTAATATTAAGAATTTATATTTCTGACTTCAATAAATTGTTAAATGTCTTCAAAGTTTTAATAAATTTATGCATCTTTAAAAAAAAACAAAACACCAGCTGCAGAAGTACGTACAGGAGGAGGAGCCTCTTAGTTGCATCCATGTGAAAAAGGTGTGTGTCACCAATGGGCTGCTGGGCAGGACCCTTTCAATTCAAACCACTGTGCAGGTGTGAGGTCCAGGAGAATGCTGCAGAAAGGAGGGGTCCTTAGCTACTGTGGGGCTGCGCAAGTTGTGGAATACGTATTCCGCTCTCCTTTCAAGCTACACTTCCCAATTGGACTTCAGTAAATATGATAAACTCATTTTAAGGATTTCCAGTACTGTTTCAGAGTAGGTTTTAAAATACTGTGGACTTTTCCTTTTGGAGTCAATAAATTAAACCCATAATCTTGAGCTGAAATTGTTTTTTTTGTTATTAAACTTCGATTTATGACATTGGATTGTAACTATTTTGAGGTTTGTGGAAGCTTCACACAGTGTTGGGGGAAAGGGCAGAGCCCAGGTGGATTCACTCACAGCCCAGGAAATGTTTGTTGAAGGGTGAGTGATGCATTTGGGAAGTATCCAGGTTTTGAAGACCAGAAGTCAGAGGTCCACAGAAGAGAAATGAGCACCAAGAGCTTCCAGAGAGATCAAAATAAGGTCAATACAACTGAAAGGTAATTTTCCAGGCACACCGTTCTCTGTGCAAGGCCTGTGCCAGTCTGGGAACAAAAGTTTGGACAAGGCCAGCCGCCCACAAGTTCAGGTCCATGGCTGCCCAAGCTACCCAAAGAGAGCTGGTCCAAGGGAGCTGTAATAGAGCGGCCACCTGGTTTTGCATGGTTCTGGAGCTAAGAATGCGTTTTTTTGTTGTTTTTTAATTGATTTGAGAAAGATAGACACCGATTTGTTGTTCCACTTATTCATGCATTGATTGGCTGATTCTTGTATGTGCCCTGACCAGGGATCAATCTGCAACCTTGGCATATCAGGACTACACTCTAACCAATTGGGCTACTTGACTGAAAAAAAAAAAAACTTTTTTTTCATCCTCACCTGAGGAGATTTTTCCATTTTTTGTACAGACAGAGTGGGAGGGAGAGAGAGAGAGAGAGAGAGAAACATCGATGTGAAAGGGACACATCGAGTGGCTGCCACCCGCACGACCAACCAGGGCCGGGGACAAACTGCAACCGAGGTACATACCCTTGGCGGGAACCGAACCCGGGTCTCTCCGGACCGCAGGCCGACGCTCTAACCGCTGAGCCAAACCGGCCAGGGCTTTTTTTTTTTTAATATTTTATTTACTTTTTTTTATCCCCACCTAAGGACATTTTTCCATTTTTTGTTCAGATAGAGTGGGAGGGAGGGAGAGAGAGAGAGAGAGAGAAACATCGATGTGAAAGGGGCACATCGAGTGGCTGCCACCCACAGGACCCAACCAAGGTCGGGGACAAACTGCAACCGAGGTACATGCCCTTAGCGGAAACCGAACCCGGGTCTCTCTGAACCGCAGGCCGACGCTCTAACCGCTGAGCCAAACTGGCCAGGGCACTATTTTTGTTTTTTAAGAATAGTTTTTAAGTGGTTGAAAAGTATTTTGTGACACATGAAGTGAAAATTTAAATGTCTGTAAAAAGCTTTTTTTGGAATGTAATCACATCCATTTGTTAACATATCGTCTCTGCTCTCAAGCTGTGGTTCCAGAGCTTACAGAATCTTTATGACCGGGAGAGCTGTAGTACTGCCTGGCCCTTTATAAAAATGTTCCCCAAGCCCTGGGCTATAGGATGAGAAGGGCCCTCTGCTAGTCTGCAAGTCTGTGCTCCCTGCTCCCAGACTTCTGGCCACAAGGGCACTTCGGAGGGATGGTTTGCCCCGGAGGTGCTGTGGGAAGGGCAGCAGTCAGGGCCACCGCGTTTGGTCTGCAAAGGATGTGGAACAATGTCCCAATGGAGAACAATGTCCCGACCCGACGTTCCTAGCCAGATGCCAAAGGCACAGACTGTTCTTTGGTGGGGGGAGGGAAGGCTAGTGCATCAGCGGAGCACTATGCCCTTACCTGGAACCTCGGAGGGTGGAGAGGAGAGCAAATAGTATGTGACCAAAAGCTGTGCCTCACAAAGGCCCAGGACCCGCCCCCCTCTAAGAGTCTGCTGACCTTCAGACCCTCCAGGGCTCTTGGAGTGGACTACCAGAGTAGACACACCAACAGGGCCATGGAGACAGCCAGGCAACCCCAGCTGGGTGCACAAGGGTTCTCTGTGGCCTGGTGGGCAGAGAAAGGGTGTGCAAGTCCCAGTGCTTGCCCACCTCTAGATGCCAGCAGCTCAGAGCCTGCCCACCCCTTGCTGTGGGGGCTACTGAGAGGCTCAAGGTAGGTTCCGAGCCACAGCCCCATTCTCCCTCTGGTCTGCAATACCAGGGTGGCCTGGAAGGCACCTTTCCTCACTGTCACCAGGTGCCTGATTTAGAACCATGAGTCCCAGCTATGAGGTCCCTCCGTGGCAGTGGAGTTTGGAGCACCCTGCTGGGCTCAGACCCCAGGTCTCCATTCCTAGTTGCATTGGACATATGTCACTATGGTAATCTTGCACCCAGAAGCCCCCAGGTCTCAGTGGCTTTCAACCCTAAATGTGTGTCCTCACTCTGGGATCACCAGCCCTAGCTGCCCAGCACTCCCACCCTTGAGGTGCTGGGAAAGGCCCCTGCTCCTTCCTGCTCTCAACATAGCACCCACTGTACTTTTAAAACAGCTACCTAGCCGGTTCGACTCAATGGTTAGAGCATCAGCCCACAGACCGAAGGGTCATGGGTTCAATTACTGGTCAAGGGCATGTACCTGGGTTGCAGGTCTGATCCCTGACCCATCAGGGTCGTTTGGGAGGCAGCCAATCGATGATGTAACTCACATCGATGTTTCTCTCTTTCTCCCTCCCTTCCACTCTATATCAATGAAAAAATATCCTTGGGTGAGGATTAACAATAAATAAATAAATAAAATAGCTATCAGGGCGGGACATACCCTCAGTACCCCTCATTCTCCTCCACCTCACTTGCCCTCTACCCAGAAGTCTCAGATCACTCTGCTACCTTGCCTCTTTATTTTATTTCCTTTATTGATTTGAGAGAGAGAGGAAGGGAGAGGGAGAGATGTAAACATCAATGAGAGAGAACATCAATTGACCGCCTCCTGCATGTCACCCACTGGGGATCAGGCACACAACCTGGGAATGTGTCCTGACCGGGAATCAAACTGGTGACCTCTTGGTGCATGGGTCAAAGCTAAACCACTGAGCCACACCGGCTGGACTACCTTGCCTCTTTAAAGTTTTTGCTCACCAGTTCTTCTAGGAGGCCCACCCTATAACCCAATGTAAAATGACAGCCTAGGTCTTCCATAGCCCTGCCTCCCAGTCTCTGGACACTGGCCTATTTTCTGCATCATTTACCATCCACTAACAAGCTACACCAGTTATCTGTTGTTATGCATTCTGGAATGTCTTCCCCTCTCCTCTACAATGTTGGCTCCATGAGGTAAGGGATTTAAGACAGGAGAATGAAATATCCACGCTGAAACAGGGTTCACAGAAGCAAATGAGCAGAGTGCTCAGATGCTACATGGGGCCCAGCTGAACAAACTTGGCATCTGCACAAAGGCCTTGGACTGGACCCCAAACTGTGACCAGAGCAGATGGCCACCCTGGAGCAGTGGGTGCCCTCACCCAGCAACACCACCAACGGCAAATGGAGGGGTGTGCAGGGTGACACCACCTAGGAAGACATGTTTTTATAGTTGCTTTACTCCCAAATAAAGAAATAACACTGCTGTCTTTTTCAGAGAACAACATGGCTGCATTCACACACTCTCACAGAAGACTGCCTCCTAGGCAGGGTGGGCTTCGCTTTGGAGATGTCTAAGCAGCCATTGCCAGGTGACCAGAGCAACTGGGAGTGCTGGTCAGTCCTGCAGTTTGTGCTCGCATTTCTTCTCCAGGTCAGCCATCTCCTTCAGTACCAGTGCCACACTGTACCGAAGCTCCTGGAACTTGGCTGTGGGGACCTCAAAGCAGTGTGCTGACCCATCCGAAAGAGTCAGCTGCATCAGGACACTTGGCTGCAGGGAGCGGGCTAGGGCACTGGTGGAGATTGCCACATCCACCCTCCACCGAAAATTGGCAACACGAGGCAGCCAGGCCCCCTGCTGCCTGGCCACGGAGTCAAGAAGAGCCCGCTGGCTTCCAAATACCACACTGGCCAAGTCCACGACCACGTCTTGGGGGATGCAGAGCTCCTGGAGCTGTTCCTTGAAGGTGTTGGGCTTCAAGCTGGCCAGGGGCAGCCGGAGGGCCTGCTGGAGCAGTGAGTGGGTGCCAGCGAGCAGGGCACCCAGCCGCTCCTCCGACAGGTGTGCGCCATCCCCGAGACGCTGCACCGCTTCGCGGCAGTCTTCTCCCTGCATGCCGCTGACCACCAGCTTCAACAATTTTCTGAATGTGCTCCTGTCCAGGTTCCCCAGGAGCCGGGGCATTGCTGCCACTTCTGGGGGAAGCTGGGCACCCAGGAAACTCACCTGGCTGCTGTGACTGACGCCAGGGTGATGCAGGTACGGAGCTGCAGCCCCCACGGCAGACATTGCTGCTTCCTCTTCTTTGATCAACCAGCCCAGAGGCAGGTCCCGGCTGCAACTACCTGGAGGGGGTAGAGAGAAGCCCAGTGACTTCGTAAGTCCTTTGGGTCAATGACTGAGGACTGACCTGGTTTCCACCTTCAAGATAGTGGTAGTGTGAACCACTGATGATAGTTCATGTAATGGGAGGCACCCTGGGAGCAGGTGATCCCAGGAAGAGGGGAGGCAGGAGTTGGCAGGGGAGACAGAGTAGGGAGAGGAGAACCAGCAAACAGGAGAGCAGTCACCGGCCCGGTTCGCGTCCTGCACTGAGCTCGTCGCGGCGCCCTGGGCACCTAAAGCGTGCACAAGCCCGTGCACAAGCCGTGGTCAGCGTCCTGCAGCCGCGCCCCAAGCTGCATCGGATCGGCAGGCCAGCGCTCTACTGTCGCGGACAGGCCTTTGGCCTCCAGAGACACCCGGACGCGGTGACCAAGGGGCCTCGCGCCGCTCAGTTGCCGGCTTCGGGTAAGGGCGACCTCACCCACCGCCCGCCACCTGGCGCGCGCGCAGTCTGCTGCGGAAAGGCCTGATGGAGAGGAGCCGAGTGGCCGGAAGCGGGGCCCGGTCCCGAGGCAACCTGGAGACACTCCCGGGAAGCTCTACGACACCGGGAGGACCCGGCCCTCTGACCCTCGGGCCCGAGAGATTTCCCCCTTCTACATAGATTGGGAAGTGCAGATTCTTTCCTTTCCAAGAAAGAGAAAAGAAAGTAAAGGGTGGTACAGGCCCGGCCCGGGGATGGAGAGGCGCACAAACAGCAACGCCCGGGCCTGGAACGGAAAGTGGGCTCGATGCCCAGGGTCCAGCCTGGCCGCCTGCCAACCGTCCCACTCCCCGGCGCCCCTCACCCAGCTGACCACCGACGGCGCGAGTCTTCTGTGGTCCTAGAGCAGCCCCGGAAGTGCCGGGCGGGACCGCGCTGCCGTTTCCGGCCCCCGCGATCTTTAAGGGAGAGACGCAGGCGGGAGCGCCCAGCTAGGGCGCAGGCCGGCCCCGCCCGCTCCGTCTGGCCCCGCCCCCTGCCGGCGGACCCGCTACTCCCAGGTGAGCAGCCCCGCCGGCGCGCTCGTTGTCCCGGGACGGGCTGCGTGGGGCCGGCCGGAGACGCAGGGGCCGACTCCGGACTGTGTAAGATCCGGCCGAGTGGGTGGGTTCGCGTGGGCGGGCCCAGCGGACCGAGGTGCGTCCCGGCGGAGCCTCGGGAGGTTTCAGCCGAGCGCGACGGGCAGGGTCGGCCGCGCGGAGGTTTAAGTGGAGATCTGCCCGGCGGAAGGTCGGTCCCGACCGGCTGGGGCGCGTGGGCGAGGTGGCGGGCTGTGTCTGCAGCCCTGGATGGCCAGACCTCGCGGCCCAGGAGGAGGCCGCAGGGGAAACTGCTGGGAGAATGAGGATCTCAGCTTGGCCTGAGGGGCGGCGAAGATTTGAGAGGCGACAGGAGGCTGGGGACAAAGGGGTGAGAAGGGCGACAGGCTTCTGGCTGTGTCCTAGGTAGCTCAGCCCCACCCGCCCCTGCGCACGTCTTCTCGCCCTGTGGGTGGGGGCAGATGGGGGCTGCACAGCCTCTGCCAGGTGTGGCTCTACACCAGCTGGACCACTGGAGCTGCAGCTTTAACTCCTCAACTCCCGGCCCCACTTGGACTCTGGCCCTGCCAGTTCTAGGGACTTCCTAGTAACTGGGCAGTGGGGCACGCATTGGGTCCTGCTGCAGGGTGACCTGCCTCTGACTAGCAGCTTCTATGAGACTGTTTTCATGGCCCCAGGAGTCCACTTCAGGAATCCATTAATGCCACCCTTCACGTGTCCAACCTTAACACCCCTTGGGCTCTGGAAGTTAATGGAGTGACTTAATGACACTGAGTGGGTCTGAGTGTGGGTCCCTTCCCACCGAGGGTGAGCTGGGGAGGCCCAGGCCAGGGCAGCCCCCCTCAGGTCCTGAGTCTTCCTTCAGATCCTGCTCCCCCAGGATGGCAGCCGCACTCGGGCTTCCAGCACCCCAGGTGAGTTCACCTTCCTCCCTGCCCTCCCTCCTCTGGAGTGATGAACCCAACTCCTGGAGAAGCTGGGCGTCCTGGCACCCAAGGACAGGGCTTTGGGACTGGACTCACCCCCTCCCCAGGGAAAGGAACTCTGGGGGCTCAGTCGGGTCCCTGTGACTGAAGAAGGCGGCCAGTCCTCGGACTGAGCGCAGCAGGTGTGCCCAGTGGGCGCAGCCCCAGGGCAGCGGCCACCTGTCGTTACAGGAGGCGGTGCCGCTGACCTTCCAGGATGTGGCCGTGTACTTCTCTCGCGCGGAGGGGCAGCAGCTGGGCCCAGACCAACGGGCGCTGTACAGGGATGTGATGTTGGAGAACTACGGGCACGTGGCCTCACTGGGTGCGGCTCTTCCCTGGGCTTCTGGTGTGGGGATTCTGGGGAGCTTGGGGGCTGCTTCCAGACTTTGGAGGTGAAAGAAGAGGGTCCTACTCCTTGTCCCCAGGTACCATTCTGGTCTCTGCCTGGCTCCCAATTCCAGACTTTACTATGCATGCTGGTGCCCACCTATGTCTCCCCAGGGGCAAGAGAACTGATGAGTTATTCTTCAGTGCTCTCTCAACCCCTGCTTCGGTTGACCAACCCCTTCCACTCCACCAATACACACACTTTGTGACCTCTGGTGGGGCAGGCATGGTGGGAGGGCTCTGGGGAAACTACACTTCCTACCTAGCCTGGAAGACCCAGCGGGTTTGTGCTCTGCTCCAGCTCCCCGGGCCACACTAACTCAGCCAGGGCCCTCACCTCAACAGGACTCCCTGTTCCTAAGCCGGAGCTGATCTCCCAGTTGGAGCAAGGTGAAGAGCTGTGGGTCCTGGATCTTATGGGAGCTGAGGAACCAGAGCCCTTGAGCAGCTGCAGCACAGGTGAGAGTGGGTGGGGGCTGGGCAGGTGATAGAGCTCACTTCCATGAACTCCTGGGGGCAGTCTTGGACAGTGTTGTATACTCCTGCAGACATGTACATCTGCTTTAATGGCTCTCATTTTACTAATTTGTTTGCTTTCCTTTTTTTTTTTTTAATCCTCATCCAAGGACATTTTTTGCATTTATCATCAGATAGAGTGAGAGAGAGAGAGAAACGTTGACTGGTTGCCACCCACATGACCCCAACCAGGGCCAGGGACAAACTGCAACCGAGGTACGTGCCCTTAGTGGGGACTGAACCTGGGTCTCTCTGGTCTGTGGGCCGACGCTCTAACCACTGAGCAAACTGCCCAGGGCTGTTTGCTTTCCTTATAAAAATACAGTTCTCTGGTCATTAGGGAAGTTTGCATTTAGTAATTACCTCTATGCTAAAGCTGTGTAACAGCCTCATTTCTTTATATAATAGCTTTCCTACTCTCCTCCTTTAGACAGTAGCCATTGGATATCTGCCAGTTTCACTTATTACACAAACTTCTCTGTTCCTTTTCTCTTGCATCTCCGAATCTTAGTCAATGTTTTTTTTTAATCCTCACTCGAGGATATTTTTACATTTATCTTCAGACAGAGTTGAAGGGAGAAAGAGAGGGAGAGAGAGATAATCATCGATGTGAGAGAGGCACATCGATTGGTTACCACCTGCACGACCCCAGCCGGGGCTGAGGATGAACTGCACCTGAGGTACGTGTCCTTGGTCGTAATCGAACCCGAGACTCTTTGGTCCGCAGGCCGATGCTCTAACCTCTGAGCCAAACTGGCCAGGGCTCAATGGTAATTTTTTAAAAATGTTCTGTTGAACATATTTTTATTAGTTGATTTCTCAGCTCTAAGCATTATCTCTGACTCCCAGTGAGTGAGACAACCAGTGATGTGTTCTGCTTTCCACTTTCTCTCCTCGTTATCCTCCCATTTTTGGTCAATTGTCAAAGGACATGACACATTATCACTCATATCTTCGTCTTTGTTAGTGCCCTGGATTTGCAATTAAGTGTATTAATTGTTCACCCTGATCCTTTCTCCAAATTTTTCTCTAGCATCTTCTGGTTGGATGAAGTTTAACCTCTTGTAATGTAAAGTTGAGTTTTTTTGTTTGTTTGTTTTTAATATTTTTTCTTTAGCCCAGCTGGTGTGGCTCAGTGGTTGAGCATTGGCTTGTACCCCAGGAAGTCACCAGTTCGATTCCCGGTCAGGGCACATGCCCAGGTTGTGGACCCAATTCCCATATTTTTTTCTTTATTGATTTTAGAGAGAGAGGAAGGGAGAGGGGGAAAGAGAAATATCGATGAGAGAGAGCATCGATTGGCTGCCTTCTCCATGTCCCCCACTGGGGACTGGGCCCACAACCTGGGCATGTACCCTGACCCAGAATCGATCTGGTGACCTCGGATGCACGGGTTGATGCTCAGCCACTGAGCCACACTGGCCGGGCAAAGTTGCTGAGTTTTAACAAAGAGACACGACTGTGTTAACCAAACCTCTATCAAGATACAGTACCTCACTGTGATCCAGGAGGTTCCCTGGGTATGCAGTGTATGTTATTGAACGCATGCGTACCTTTTTTGACTGGAGATACACCAAAAACTGAATAATTTTTTACAACTATGGTTCTAGTAGCCACTGTTTTGTGGTAATTTTAACTAACATGCTGATTGCGCTATTCTAAACACGTAACAGGATTAGGGTATTATGTATGGTTAGTGCCAATGTGGATTATCTCAGGTGAGCTCTGACATCAGGGGCCCCAGCAGTGCTCATGAGAAGAGTTCTCATTTAGGAACCTGAAGTCCTGTCTGGGCAGTGGGAGAAGGGGCCGCCCAGGAGACGATGTGGGTGTGTGACAGCACCCTTGACGGGGCAGCTCCCACAGAGTGTCCAGGTGTCCATGCCTTTCAGTTGGATGTGAAAAGATGGTTCTGTTTCTGTGGGGTTTTCTCATGTATTGGAGCATGAGAAATTACTCCAAACGCCCCAAAGTCTATTGGAAATGGGGGTTGCCCAGGCAGAACCTGGTGAGGGTTGGATGCGGGAGAGGATGTTTCTCCGTGTCAGTGTGCCCTAGGGACTCAGGCACCACTCGTCCTCCGATCTTGATGTTTGAGCTCTAGCAGCACACCTGCACGAAGATTCTTGTTGGGCTGTGGTTGCAGTGACCTGTGTCAGCATCCTTGGGCTGGCCTCCGCTGTCACACCCTGTAACGATTTGTCAGTTTACACGTGCTGTCCTACCATGGGTTACCTCTAGGAAGCAGCAGAGCATCACCCCTGCTGCTGTTCGCCTCAGGGTAACTGTGGGGAAGGTCCTGGCAGGCAGGTGCATGAAGCTCTGACTGTTCATTTATCTCTTTGTTTTTGGGGTTCTGTTTTGGCACAATTCAGTGGATTCTGGTGATGTATGAACCAGAGGTTCTGCTGGGTCTGTCATAATGCCATTGACAGTGAGTGAGGTCACCTACGTGTTAGCAAGCAGCTCTGTCCCTGTGGAGTTGAGAACATGTCACAGTGGAACGTTTTTACCCACTGTCCCAAAGAAAAGGGGTAAAATGTCTATAACAGCATGAGATATATTTTAAACTTGCATTTACTTCAATATGAGATATCAGGAAGGAACTAGAATTTAACATGAATTTTGTATGATTCCTAAAAGGAGATTACAGAAGAAAATGACTAACAATTGGATATTTCTCTGAGCTAATGTAGATGCGCACTTGCGCTCGTGAGCTCTCTCTCTCTTTTTTTTTTTTTTTTATCCTCATCCGAGGACATTTTTCCATTTTTTGTTCAGGTAGAGTAGGAGGGGGAGAGAGGAACAGAGAGAGAGAGAAACATCGACGTGAAGGGACACATCGAGTGGCTGCCACCCGCACGACCAACCAGGGCCGGGGACAAACTGCAACCGAGGTACATGCCCTTAGCGGGAACCGAACCCGGGTCTCTCGGGACCGCAGGCCGACACTCTAACCGCTGAGCCAAACCGGCCAGGGCATCTCTCTCTGTCTCTCTGTATATACATATATGTAAAACCTTTGTCTCTCCTTTATATTATAGCCAGGGAAAAATTATTTCTTTAAAAATACTTTTTGTTGAAAAGTAACTTACATACATAAAATCACACCACTTGTAACTGAAGCGCTTACTGAGTTTTCAAGAATTGGACCCAGACACATAACCATCAGATAAGAAACAAAACGCTACCAGCAGCATGGAAGCCCCTTTACTGCCCCTCCAGTCACTGGTGCCCCCAAGGTAACCGCAAAGTTTTGTTTGGTCTTGAGCTTTATATAAACTGAATTGCTTTTCCCCTCAGAATTAGGTGTGTGCTGATCCGTGCTCGCTGTCCCATGTCATGTTGTCTTACCTGCGTACCCCTGCTGCCTACGGCTCATCCATCCCACTGCTGGTGGGCATGTGGGTCACTCCCTAGTCAGGCTTAAGTGATCTCTGTTCACTGTAATTTTCTAGCTATTTATTTACAACTATTCTGTACACAGAAATGTCACTAATGCTTTCAATTTTTTCTTCCGCAAACTTGATAAACTATTATTGCTTCTGATCACTTACATTTCCTGTGAATGGTGATTTGGCTTCTTCTTTTCTACTCTTGTCCCAGGGTATTTCTCTCTGTGTTGTTGCTCTGTCTGGGGAGCACTGACTGGGAAGTGCAGCCAGGTATATCCAGCCTCAGGTGGAGCTGCCTACCCTCACCCCCAAGTGTAGAGTTTGTTGTAGGTGGGAAATACCAGTCCCAGGTTATATGAAGGAAGTTTCCTTCTGGTTCTAGTTCTCTTAAGAGTTTGGCTTTTTTTCCTAATCAGAAATGAATGTTGGCCCTGGCCGGTTTGCTCAGTGGTTAGAGCGTCGGCCTGTGGTCCAGAGAAATGAAAGTTGGATTTGATCAATTTCTTTCTGCCTCTGTTGTGGTTACTGTACAATTTTTCTCTCATTTTCTCTAAGTGTGGTGAGTTTCCCTGGTCTATTTTTCTCATGATACACTGAATTTACAATCTTGGAATTACTCAAATTTTTATTCCTGTTATATATTACTGGCTTTGGCTTGTCAATGTTTATTTAGGGTTTTTGCACCTGTCGTTATGAATGAGATTGGCCTGAAACTTTTCCTTTCTCACACTATTGGTGTCACGTGTTGGTATCAAGGTTGATAATCTCACGAAAGGAATTGGGGCACTTACTATCACTTTCTGTTTTCTGGGTATAACTGATAAAGAACAAAAGAGAAAAGGAGACATCATACGCATACTGCAGATATCTAATAAAAAGGTATTTTGAACACATGTATGCTAAGTTTTTGAACATTGGTAGAAAATGTATAAATATCCTAGAAAAATACTATTTATCAAGATTGACACAAGAAAAGGTTAACTATTAACTACATAATTATATAACTATTAACAAAATTGACTCAGTAATTTAAAACCCTTCCTCAGGGAAAATGCCAAGCCCTGACGGCTTTACCAACCAAACACATAAGAAAGAAATACCACCTACCTTACATAAATATTTCCAATAAAAGTTGGTTTATACTGTATGTGTAGTTTTAGAACATTATTTTTTTTACTTTATAATAGATCATATGGACTTTAAATTATATTCTGTTATATAATTTTACTGGCAGAATGGTATTCTGTTATATGGGTAGTCTATGATTGGTTTGAGCAATCCCGTTTTTTTTTTTTAATTGCAGTAACATTGCTTATTAACACTATATAAATTTCAGGTGTACAACTTTATAAATTGACATCTGTGTACTCTATTGTGTGCTCTGTCTCAAAAGCCTAGTCTCCTAGTGTCACCATACATCTGACCCATTTTACCCAATTCACCCTCTCCCACCCTCCTTCCGCCAGCAACCACCATTCTGTTGTCTGTGTTAATGAGTTGGGTTTTGTTTTGTTAGTTCATTTGTTACTTTTTTGTTTTATATTCCAATATGAGTGAAATCATATGGTTTTTGTACTTTTTCGTCTGATTTATGTCACTTATTATGATACCCTCAATATCCATCCATGTTGTCCCAAATGCAATATTTCATCATCCATTGAACGTACTTGGGTTGTTTTCATTCTTGGCTATTGTGAATAATGCTGCAGTGAACAAGGGGTACATATATCTTAATGAATAAATGTTTTTAAATGTTTTGGATAAATACCCAGAAGTAGAATTGCTGGATCATATGGAAGTTCTATTGTTAATTTTTTGAGGAACCTCCATACTGTTTTCCATAGTGGCTGCACCAATTTATAGTCCTACCAACAGTACACGAGGGTTCCCTTTTCTTCACATACTCACCAACACTTATTTCTTGTGCTTTGGTTATTAGCCATTCTGAAAAGTGTGAGGTGATATCTCACTGTTGTTTTGGTTTGCATTAGCCTGGTGATTAGTGACGTTGAGCATGTTTTTATATATCTGTTGGCTATCTTTGTGAACTCTTTGAAAACCTGTCTGTTTAGATCGACTGCCCATTTTTTAATTGCATTATTAATTTTTTGTTGTTGAGTTGAAAATTTTCTTTATCTATTTTGGATGCTAGTTCCTGATTGGAGGTATTGTTTGTAGATACCTTCCTTATCCCATAGGGTGCCTTTTCATGTTGTTGACTATTGCCTTTGCTATGCAGAAACCTTTTAATTTGATGTAGTTTACTTTTTTTTTAATCCTCACTCAAGGACATTTTTCCAGTTTTTGTTCAGATAGAGTGGGAGGGAGAGAGAGAGAAAAACATTGATGCGAAAGGGACACATCAAGTGGTTGCCACCCGCACGACCCAACCAGGGCCGGGGACAAACCGCAAAGGAGGTCTCTCTGAACCGCAGGCCGACGCTCCAACCTCTGAGCCAAACCTGCCAGGGCAGTTTACTTTTTTTTAATCCTCACTTGAAGCTATTTTTTCCCATTGAATTTTGTTTTATAAAGAGTTGAAGGGAGGGAGGGAGAGGAGGGAGACAGAGGGAAACATCAGTGTGAGACACATTGACTGATTGCCTCCCTCATGCAGCCTCCCTCATACACCCTGACCAGGGCCAGGAGCGAACCTGCAACCCAAGTGTGTGCCCTTGACTGGGAATAGTACCCCTGACCCTTTGGTCCTTGGGCCAGCCCTCTAACCATTGAGCAAACCAACCAGGTCTAGTTCTAGTTTTTTATTTCTGCTCTTTTCCCCCGTCTTTGGAGTCAAGTTCACAAAAACAACACTGAGACCAAGTTCCATAAGCTTAGTGCCTATGTGTTTTTTATGTAATTGTTTCAAGTCTTACATTCAACTTTAATCCATTTAAGTTATTTTTAGAGCATGATGTAAGATAAGGGTAAGTTTTATTCTTTTGCATGTGGCTTCCCAGTTGTCCCAACACCATTTATTTATTTATTTATTTATTTATTTATTTATTTATTTTTTTATCCTCACCCGAGGACATTTTTCCATTTTTTGTACAGATAGAGTGGGAGGGAGAGAGAGGAAGAGAGAGAGAGGGAAACATCGATGTGAAAGGGACACATCGAGTGGCTGCCACCCGCACGACCCAACCAGGGCCGGGGACAAACTGCAACCGAGGTACGTGCCCTTAGCGGGAACCGAACCCGGGTCTCTCCGGACCGCAGGCGGACGCTCCAACCGCTGAGCCAAACCGGCCAGGGCCCAACACCATTTATTGAAGAGGCTTTCCTTTGTCCATTGTATGTTCTTGGCTACTTTGTTGAAAATTAGTTGCCCACCCTGGCTGGTTTGGCTTAGCTGTTAGAGCATCTAGCTGTGGTCCAGAGAGACCCAGGTTCGGTTCCCGCTAAGGGTGCGTACCTTGGTTGCAGTTTGTCCCCGGCCCTGGTTGGTCGTGCGGGTGGCAGCCACTCAATGTGTCCCTTTCACGTCAATGTTTCTCTCTCTCTCTCTCCCCATCCCACTCTATCTGAACAAAAAAAATGAAAAAAAATGTCCTCGGGTGAAGATTAAAAAAAAAAGAAAAGAAAAGTAGTTGCCCATATATGTGTGGGTTTATTTTGGGGCTTTCTAGTCTGTTCCATTGGTCATTGGTTGGTGTGTGTGTGTGTGTTTTCCTTAGTACCATACTGTTTTGATTACTATAGCTTTGTAATATAGTTTTAAATCAGGGAGTGTGATACCTCTGGCTTTGTTCTTTTTTTTTTTCTCCTTTATTGATTTGAGAGAGAAAGGAAAGGAGAGGGAGAGAGAGAACATTGATTGGCAACCTGCTGCATGCCCCCCACTGGGGATTGGGCCCACAACCTGGGCATGTGTCCTGACCGGGAATTGAACTGGCGACCTCTTGGTGCATGGGTCGATGCTCAACCTCTGAGCTGGACCTGGCTTTGTTCTTTATCCTCAAGATTGCTTTGGATTATTCTAGTTCTGTGAAAAATGCCACTGGAATTTTGATAGAGATTTCATTGAATTTGTATATTGCTTTAGGTAATATGAACATTTTATGTAATTTTCCCAATACTACATGACATGGGATATCTTTTCATTTCTTTGTGTCTTCAATTTTTTCAATAATGTCTTACAGTTTTAGTGTACAGGTGTTTCACCTTTGTCAAGTTTATTCCTAGGTATTTTATTCTTTTTGCTGTGATTATAAATGGGATTGTTTCCTTTATCTAGTCTTTGGATAGTTCATTGTTAGTATATAGAAAGGTAGTAGATTTCTGTAAAGATTGATTTTGTACCCTGCAACTCTATTGTATTTGTTTATTATTTCTAATAGATTTTTGGTGGAGTCTTTAAAATTTTTTAAAAATTTATTCATTTGTTTTATTTTTTTCCATCACTTTAGGGTTTTCTATATATGAAATTATGTTACTGGCAAATACTGACAGTTTTACTTATATGTAATATACCATTTCTTTGGTATATATTTCCAAATTTTCCTTTTAAAAGTCATACTAATTTAATAGTCCCACCAACAGTAAAAGACAGGGATTGTTTCTTCAATTCTCATCAACACTGGGTATCATTTTTTAACTATTGAAAGTCTAAGGTTTTTTGTTTTTTTTTAAATTGATTTTAGAGAGAAACATTGATGTGAGAGAGAATCAATAGGTTGCTTTCTGCATGTGCCCTAACCAGGGATTGAACCCACAACCTGGGTATGTACCCTAATGGATAATCAAACCCACCACCTTGTGGTCTACTGGACAACACTCCCACCAACTGAGCCAACTAGCCAGGAGCTTGTGTTGGTGTCCCCATGACCATTCCCTGTCCCATTTTGCCACTCTCCCCTGCCAATACTTCTAGCAGCAGCTGCAGTGAGATTCTTGAACTTGATGTATTGTCAATTTGATAGGTGAAAAATTGTAATTTGTTTTAATTTTCATTTCTTTGATTACTAAGGAACCTAAATATTTTTATCCTGTGGACTGGCCATCTTTACTTCTGAATTCTGCCTGTCACCTACATTTACCTTATACAGATGCTTTATGGGGTCTTTTGACACATTGTGGATATTATCCCTGACAGATGGTTTTCTCCAATAATGCCTTTCTGCTTTTATGTAACAGATTTTGAGATTGGGACTGAGAAGAAACTATCCATTCTAAACCAAAAGTGCTCTGAAGAAGTAAAAAACCCAGAACTTATATCTAGAAGATTCTCGGGGTGCAATCCACAGGCACCTGTGTTGCAGGAAGCTTGGGACCCTGTGGCTAAAGTAGAAGGACACCTGTGGGAATCTGTTGGGCAGAGTTTGAAGAAACTCCATCTTCATAAGAGAGTTTTTAGGAAAGAAACTGCCATGTGCAGGGAAAGGTCTCCAGGAGAAAGAACCCAGGAATGTAGTGCATTTGATGGAAACTTGAATCTGAATCAAAATGCTGTTAGGCTTCAAAGAAATAAAACAGGAGAGAGAGCCTTTACATGTGATATATGCAGCAAAACCTTCAAATACAATTCAGACCTAAGTAGACATCAGAGAAGTCACAGTGGGGAAAAACCTTATAAATGTGGTCAATGTGGGCGAGCATTTGCTCTTAGCTCAGGCCTTATTCTGCACCATCAAGTTCACACTGGAAGTAAACCATTTAAATGTAATGACTGTGGGAAGACTTTTCGTCTCAATTCTCACCTACTTCTTCATCAGAGACTTCATACTGGAGAAAAACCTTTCAGATGTAGTGAATGTGGGAAGGCTTTCAGTCGAAGTTCAAGTCTTATTCAACATCGCATCATTCACACAGGAGAGAAACCATACAAATGTAATGAATGTGGAAAAGGCTTCAGCCAGAGTCCACAGTTAACACAGCATCAGAGAATCCACACTGGTGAGAGGCCACACGGATGTGACCAGTGCGGGAAGGCCTTCAGTCGAAGTTCAAGCCTTATTCAGCACCAGAGGATCCACACTGGAGAGAAGCCCCATGTGTGTGACCAGTGTGGGAAGGCCTTCAGTCAGAGCTCAAGCCTTTTTCTCCATCACAGGGTGCACACTGGAGAGAAGCCCTATGTTTGTAATGAGTGCGGCAAAGCCTTCGGTTTTAACTCTCACCTCACTGAACATGTAAGGATCCACACAGGAGAAAAACCCTATATTTGTGATGAGTGCGGCAAAGCCTTTAGCCGGAGTTCAACTCTTGTTCAGCATCGAAGGGTTCACACTGGGGAGAAACCTTACCAGTGCATTGAATGTGGAAAAGCCTTCAGTCAGAGCTCACAACTTGCCCTACACCGAAGAGTTCATACTGGAGAGAAGCCCTATGAATGTGGTGACTGTGGGAAAGCCTTCAGCCGGAGGTCAACCCTCACTCAGCATCAGAGGGTCCATACCGGAGCGAGCCCCCGTGCATGCAGAAAGTGTGCCCCGCCCCTTGTTCCTGGCTCTAGCCTTAGGCCACATGGACAGATGCCCACTGGAGAGAAACACTGTATGTGTGATGGACATAGCAGAACCTTCAGCCATGGCACAAACCTTGTTCTGCATTGGGCGATTCACAGACGTTTCATGTTTTCAGAATCAGTCGCTGTGTAGCTTTTTGAATCTGGCTTCTTTATTGTACTGCAGATTCATTGTGATGTTGTGTGTGCTAATAGTTCCTCCTTTTTTACTGCCAAGTAGCATCTGTTGTACGGATGAGGCAGTTTATTTATCCGTTCCCCACTGAAAAAGTATTTGGGTTACTCTGTCTGGGGCAAGTATGAATAAAGCTGCTATAAGCACTTACGGCAGGTTGTTGTATAGACCTAACTTCTCCATTGTCTTGGGTCACAGATAGGAGTAGGATGCAGGGCAACAAGGTAAGCTTGTGTTTAAATATATAAAATTGATTTTTCAGAGAGGAAGGGAGAGAGATAGAAACATCGATTGGCTGCTTTCTGCATGCTCCCTACTGGGGATCGAGCCGCCAACCCAGGCATGTGCCCTGACCCTGAATTGAACCAAGAATTGAACCCGGACCTATATGGCTCTGTCCATGGGGCGGCGCTCAATCCACTGAGCCACACCTGCCAGGCATGTTCAACCTTTTAAGGAGCTGCCAGACTGTTTTTTACATCTCCACTGGCAACATCTGAGTTTAGTTTAGTTGATTCCTCACCAGTTTTTTTTTTATTCTAGCCATCTTAGTGGGGACATCGTGGTATCCATTATTTTAATATGAGTTTCCCTATTTATTGTGATTTCAGCAATAAGCTTCTATTTAAAGTTTCACTGGGAAGTTTGAGAAACTGGACCAGTTCATGTCCATGGTGCAAACACCCTGCCATCCTGACTCAATTCTGAGACTTCCTGGAGGAATCTTTTATCTAATCCATTCTTCATTTCCTCCAAGCCAACTCTAATATGACCCCTTCAAGTCCCTTCCTTGATTAATATCTGCTCCCATCCTTCCTGTGTCTTAGGGAATTTGGGATCACTTCTGCATCTGGTTTGACATTTGTCCTGGGATTTGCTTGATTTATTCTACCTGCTCATGTTCTGATTCTGTTAATATTATTAAAATTCTTAGACACAGAACCTCTTCTGAGTGGGGACTTGACCAGCCCCATTGTGGTCTGTATAGAAGGGTCTGTAGGCCTTATCCTTTTTTCTGTATTGGGCCTACTTTATGGTCTTTTTCCTCATCTCTAAAAGGGGATAAAAGTACCTGCTCCACACAATGTATGTCCTTCTGAAAAAGTAAGTCTCCTACCCTTGAGCCCCATAGCACAACCTTCATACCCACACTGCATCTTCACTCATGCTTTATTTCACTTTCTATCTGTTCTCCTACATTATATCTGGAGCTCTTTGCTGTCAGACTTTTCTTAGACACCATTCTGTCTCCAGCATATGATACAGATAGATGCTTCAGACATGTTTGGGAAGGAAGTGAGGAAGAAGCAAGGGAGGAAAAGAAGGAAGAAAAACTCATGCAATCACTTTGTCAGTCAAAGGCAGTGCATAACTGTGGAGCACTGATAGTGTTTTTGCTTGTGTTTTGTTAGTGAAGTGTGAGTGAATTACAGTTGTTTTAGTTCCTAAGCTTCTAGAGTGCCCCAGAGTGATGTTCTCCTGGCAAGACCACATCTCATACTTGTGTCTGGTGTGAGCATTGGTGCAGGCAGGAGAGAAAGACAAACATGACTCAGGAGAGGAGGTGGCTGAGCACAATCTTTGACAACAGTAGAGGGAGTCACCAGGGGAGGGACTGCCGTAGGAACCAGAAAACACAGCCTGCACATTTTCAGAAGGGAAGGTGAAAAGTGCAGGGTGGATGTGGCTGGGCCTCTGAGTTTTGGTCTTGTCTGGGAGGCTCAACTACCGAGGCCTGAGAAATCTGATTGTCACTTTGAAGAGTAGGAGACTCTCGGAGGAGACCACAAGATTGCCACGAAGTGCTCGTTTTACTTTTAAAGTGAAGCCAGCCAGCCTGGATGTGTGATGTTTCTGCAGTTGTCATGATGGAGAGTGGTTGCTGTCATCCAGTTGGGTTTTCTCTAGCGGGTACGATGGAGAGGTAGCTGGAAAGTAGAGCAGAGACCACCAGTCCATGTGTATGGAAGAAGTCAGAGGCTGGGACACGGGAGGAAGGAGCTGCGGAACTCAAACCATGGTGTTTGAAATTGAGCTTTCAGCCCTTTGCAGTTTCTTGTGATGACAGGATCCAGGGTATGGCCAGGGGTTAAGTGGTGTGGGCTTCGGCGTTCCCTTGTATGAGAGTTGCTCAGCTTTCATTTCAGGCTAAATGCAGATTAGAAAGTGCTGAAGAGCCTACCAGTAAAGATGAAGGTAAGCAATTACCAAGAGTTAAGATGACAGAGCAAGAAGATAACATGGTAGACATAGAAGATGCAGACCGTCCAGATTATCTTAAAAATTACAGGTGTAAAATAAAAAATTTAATTTCCAGGGCTGAAAGCCTTTGTAAAAGAAGGGTTTATTGGAGTATTTCTACCAAGAAGGAGACCGGGTCCTGGAGCGGGAGTCTAACCCACCCACACTCACCCTTCCCCCACCCCACCCCCCACCCCCACAGCAGCGCCAGGTGAAGACCAGGTGTCGCCGTCCTGGAGTGAAGTGGGGACAGAGGAAGTCGTCTGGAGAGAGTCTACACTGGCTGCAGACAGGGGTGGGAGGGGTGAGGACCGGCTCTGGGATGAGCCCAGGCTTTGAGGAAGAAGGCATGGCTCCCGAGGAGGGTTGGGGGCCAGGTCTGGAAAGTTCACGTGTGGTCAAAGCACAGGTTCGATGACGCCTGGCTCTTCTCTCCAGACAGTCGCGGGAACAACCCCCTGGACGTTCATCCGGCTCCTGCCCCCGCGGCTCCAGCTGCTGGCGCGCTCACTGCTTCGGCCGCCGGAATTTTACCTGGGACAGTTCGGCCGGGACTGACGAGACTGGAGACGTTAGCCCGCGGACGGGCTCGGGACCCCGCCCCCCTGCCCGCCCCGTGAGAGGAGCCGGTCCTCCCGCGCTCCCGGCTCCCGGCATGCCGCGCGCCGGCGCACGCGCATGGGACGGGCGGCGCCCCCTGGCGGCGGGCGCGGGGCGGCGCGGGGGCGGGGCCGGAGGCGGGGGGTTGCGCTGGTGACGGGAGGACGCGCGGCCGCGGCGCACTGGGCCGGCGGCGGCAGCGGCGGCGGAGGACGCGGACCGGGCGGCGGCGGCGGCGGCGACGGGAGAGCCGCGGGCAGCTCACGCGCGGCGCGCGGGCCGGGATGAGGGGCTGTGGCGGCGCAGCCCGCGCGCAGCCGGCTGGTGAGAGCGCGGGCGGTGGGCGGCGCGGGCCGGGAAGATGGCGGAGAGGCCGGCGCTGCGGCCCCCGCTCGGCCGCGCGAGGATCCGGGACCGCGGCGACCGAGGGGACGCACGAGACCGCGGCCGGGCGCGGCGGGGGCGGGGCGCGGCGGGGCGGGGCGGGGGTGCGCGAGAGGCGAGGGACCCGGGCCATGCGGGACAGGTTGTGAGGTGGGCGTGAGTGGGCGTGAGTGCGCCCGTCCCAGGATGGGCGTGAGTGCACTGCGGGCCCTCAGCTCGGGGCGTCGGCGCGGTTTCCGGGGCGCCGTCGGGGCGGGTGCGGGGCCCCCGGCTTTGTCCCGGTCGGCGGACGCGCGGGTGCGGGTGCGGGTGCGGGTCGTGGCCGCCGGGCCCCACGGATCTGGCCTCTGCAGCAGGGCGGGCTGGGCTGCTCCGCCTTCTCTCTCGGTAGCCTTCAGAGTGGGAATCCCCTCTGCTGCTTCTCGGTTGCGGGAGCGGTGTGGGCGGAGGCAGCATGTTTCGTGCCGAGGGCCGCGAGCGAGGCGGCCGTGGTGTTCGGGGTCAGGATGTCTTTTCTCTCAAACGTGCAGCGGGCTGCGAGGCCGCGGCAGCTGTGGGTGTGTTACGCGCTGCTCCCACCAGCAGCTGCTGTGGGCGCTGCGCAGCCTTCACCAGCAAAAATGCGGCGCCCCCCCCTCCCTTCTTCAGTGTCGTGTGGTTTAACCAAACCTCCAGTGACCTCTGCAGAAACCTACAGTTGCGGGCTCGTGTTCCTCCCCTGGGGCAGACAATAGGAGATTTGTCTTTGAAGCCAGTGAGGGGAATTGAACCCTGTATATCCTGGGTGCCTCTGCAAACAGCAGGTGGTTCCCGGTCAGCGGCTCTCCATTCACAATGAGCAAGGTGTGTTTCTCCTCGCTGGGGGAAGGGGAAGGAGATTTGATAGGAGGTGTGACTGTAAAGCAAGGAGACTCATTTCATAAAGCGTCCTGGCAGACTCGGTGCCCCGCAGAGGCTTGTTCAGTGAATAAACGGGGAAGCCAGCCAGTCGGTCTCCCTGCCTTCACTTTGTCTAGTCAGCTCTCTTGCCAAGGGGCTGGGAAAGAGTGGGGAAGAGGGCGAGTTCTGGAGTCAGACTGCCTGCCTTTGAGTCGTGACTCTTCTGTTTACTGCCTTTGTACTCAGTGCCTTTGGTTTCTCATCTGTAAAATGGGAGCACTAGTCATATTGGCTTCCTAGGCTGGTAATGAGGACTCAGCGAATCAAGACTGTAAAACACTTTGTGCCTGGTACATTCATTGTACGTGTTTTTAAAAGTTTGGATGTCATGACTGCCATGCTGTGGTTTCCAGGTGCATTTGCTGTGGTCCCCTAGCCTCAACCTCCTAATTTTATGTTAACGTCAAGTCTGTGGCTTCCTTTTCTTAATACAGGCAAGGTGGGGCTATATTTGGAGAAACAAGTCTTTCTGAAGGTACACAAGGAACAAATTTTGTGTACTTAGATAAATTATTATATAGAGCTGTTTTAAAATATATATTTAGAAAAAGAAAGCTTCTAATGAGCCACCTGAATTACTCTAGTTCTTACTGTCCTTGGGACTTGGTAGGATTGTTGTTGACAGAAATGAGATTTAGAGCAGTTCTTTGGCACTTCTCTGTTTGAATTAAGCTACCTAAGCCATAGTTGTTATACTTTACAGTGTCATCCTCCTAGTAGAGGAGATAATTTTTTTTAAAAGTATATTTTTATTGATTTTTTTTTTTTTTTTTTTTTTTTTAGAGAGAGGAAGGGAGAGAGAGAAACATCGATGTGAGAGAGAAACATCGATTGGCTGCCTCCTACACCCCCCTCACTGGGGATCGAGCCCAAAACCCAGGCATGTGCCCTGACAGTAAATCAAACCAGAACCCCTCAGTCCATGGGAGAAAGCTCAATCCACTGAGCCA